TGCTGAACAGCAGAACGCAAAACGCCTCGTGTCGCGGGGTCGCCGTCTTGCGAATGATTGAGGCCAGGGGCTGTTTGTGCGCTGGGAGAGGCATGGAGCGGTGATCATTTGAAACTCTATGCCCCGCCCTCTCTATGACCCGCCCTCTCTATGCCCCACCCTCTTTATGCCCCGTCCTTTCAAGTGGTAAGAGTTTCATTCATGGGCGGTTCGTGGTTGCAGAGATATAGCGATTTCAAATCGGGTCCATCATTTTATAACACCCTGTATAACGTGGACGTTTTCTGGCGATGGGCCTTGTTCACAGCACAGACGCCTGAGAGAAGGCGTCTTCCAGACACGGAGAAACAACGAGCCAGGAGACGGCGGGCTAGAAGTGGTTACGGTGTCCACCAGTGGCATCTAAATCTAAGGAGTCACCCTCCTCAGTCCACTGCGTGTGTGATCCCATGGGGCAATGGGGGGTGTCGTTCAAACGCCGGTCTTGCCGGTCACATGCGAACTCGCAGGGATCAAACGCAACATCCATGTAAGGTGACGAAGGGTTACTGATAGAGGCCGCCCGAAATTCGGTTTCGGTGTCGAAAGTTGGCAAATGGCCTCTTTCGGCATACTTTCGGTTTCGGCCGAAAGTCAATTTTTAACTTTCGGTCTGGTTTCGGTTTCGGCTGAAAGTGAAGTTAAATCTTCTTGGTTCTTTCGGTAAAGTCACGTGACTTTACCGAAAGAACCAAGAAGATGAATCCCTGCAGTCACGAAAGCTTTAAATAGAAAAGTGAAGTTAAACTTTCGGTTTCGGTTGAAAGTCAATTTTGAACTTTCGGTCCGGTTTCGGTCGGCCTCTAGTTACTGACTCCCGATGCATGAGATGTCATCGTCCTTGGGGACGGACTGCATGGTGATGATGATGAATACTCTACATTTACCCGATATGTCAGCTATTATATTATACTTGTTTTCCCTTTAAGGCAGGGTGGGGAGGTGCTGGGTGGGGAGGTGGGGGGTGGGAGGGGTGGGGCTGGGTGGGTAGGGGCTGGGCACCACGGGGTGCCCTTATAAAACTCAACGTTTAACCTACTCACGCCGGCTTGTGCCCGCCCTCACAGTCGGCCATATTTGCGCCGTTGACCCAAGCCATTGACCGAGCAACCCAACGTTCCTACCAGCTCCCTACGCAGGAATTTGTTTTTTGTTGTTTTTAAGGGGCCGTCCATAAATGACGTCACTCGATTTTGGACGATTTTTTACCCCCCCCCCCCCCCATCATCATCCGGCGTCACAAAGTCAGACCCCCCCCCTCAAATAAGACGTCACAAATATCTGCCCCCCCCCCCAATAAATAAAACATGCTTCAAATCGCTTTAAACTATTGTCATTCTAGTGCATATTTCATGTGCCGCTGCACTCTGATGTTGTAGGAGATAACATTTATTAAAACGTCTATTTAATTTAGTAGAACGTGTTGTCTATATTTATTTAAAGTTGCGCATTTTGATGTGACGTCACAAATCTCAACCCCCCCCCCCTCGTCACACATCGTCACAAATGTCTGACCCCCCCCCCCCCCCCAGGTGCGTGACGTCATTTATGGACGGCCCCTAAGCTCCCAGTACGAAGTAGTAGATTTCCAATCAAGTACATTTAGGATTCAACGGAACGTACGCTACGTTTGAAAAATGCAAACGAACGTCGACCGTTGGACGACAGTGTAAGACAAACATTGAAATGTGGCGAAGCAAGAGGCGGTGAAATGCACTCGAAATAGAATCGAATTATTGCCAAGGGAAGTTGCTTCGCAGAGGCAATGGAGAACATTGCACAAACGTTTAAAAACAAGCTGGATTCAGACGGCACGGTCTATACCCCAAAAAAATGGACCACTGTTTATGTAATTTATAATGAAACAAAAAATCGTCCACTTCTGCAGCGAAACGTCGGACAACGTGCCGACCAACGACAACAACAACACGCGGTACAACTTGAAAACCGAGGGACAAAGCCAGTCGCTAGGCGACAGTGGGTATCTGGGGTAACGCGGCATTGCTCAGCGGGGAATGTTGCCTTGCAATGGGATAGATAGAGGGGGGGATGGCGAGGAAGAGAGGGGCGTTTGTAGTTCTGCATTTTTAATGTGAATTTAGTCCGAACATTGGCCAGTGTGTAGCACCCTGAGCGAAACATGTCCAAAATACATTTTCTTAAGTCATTTGGATCCGATCCTGGTCACCTCTAGGTTGACTCGGCATTAAAATGATTATCAGCCGGTGTGCTGGTTGGGAATTCCAAAGGTGCCCCGATCTCCTCGAATCTCAGAAGCCAAAGCAGATTTGAGCCTGGGCAGTGCTAGAATTGGGACATTTTGTTAAGCTGTGCTTAACAAACTAAACAAAAAAATGTTTTACCAGGCCAAGGCCCACTGACCTCTATGGCTCTGTTTCAGAAGCGGACCTGACCATCACAAATGATAGCTCAACCAAGTGGCTTACCACGTGGAAATCCATAGCAGCAGCAAAATGCCCTTTCGCGGGTGCTATAGCCATGAACACATTCCTGCGGAGGGAGCTGGTAGGAACGTTGGGTTGCTCGGTCAATGGCCAGGGTCAACGGCGGCGTGGTGTATTCCGCAAATGTGCCCGACTGTGAGGACGGGGCACAAGCCGGCGTGAGTAGGTTAAACGTTGAGTTTTATAAGGGCACCACGGGGTGACCAGCCCCTCCCCACCCAGCCCCACCCCTCCCAACATCTTAAAGTGACTATGCGACTATGTGCAAACTGAAAATGCAAGAAAAGACAGCAAAGTGTTGCAGAAAAAGCACCGTACACCAACGCTGTGTGCACAAATCCCAGTGGGATGCAAGTCAAACAACAACAACCACAAGACATACTCTTTGGTTTTTTCGGTAAAGTCACGTAGGTAAAAAAATCATAATTAAAAAATAAATAAAATCACGACGTTTCAGAGGCAACACAAGCTTCCGAAACGTCGTGATTTAATTTTTTTTTTATATATTTTTTTTCACCTACGTGACTTTACCGAAAAAAACAAAGAGTATGGACCCTTGCAGTCACGAAAACTTCAAATCTAGAAGAAGAAAAAAAACCACAAGACAACTTAGATTAAATTTCGATTTAAAGCTTTCGTGACTGCAGGGATTCATCTTCTTGGTTCTTTCTGTAAAGTCACGTAGAAGGGAAATAATAAAATAATAAAAATAAAAAATTATAAAATAAAATTCTCACGACGTTTCGGCCACAACGCAAGCAGCCGTCCTCAGGTGAAGAACAGGGCTGTCGGAAAGAAGCTGTCTTTCCGTCGTGAGAATTTTATTTTATTATGTTGTATTATTTTATTATTTCCCTTCTACGTGACTTTACCGAACGAACCAAGACAACTTAGATTAATCTTCTTGGTTCTTTCGGTAGTCACGTAGAAGGAAAATAATAAAATAATTAAAATAAACCAATAAAATAATTCTCACGACGTTTCGGCCACAACGGAAGCAGCCGTCTTCAGGTGAAGAACAGGTCTGTCAAGGAGACAGAGTCTGAATGTCGTGAGAATTATTTTATTTTTCGATTTAAAAATTTCGTGACTGCAGGGATTCATCTTCTTGGTTCTTTCGGTAAAGTCACGTAGAAGGGAAGTAATAAAATAATAAAAATAAAACATAATACATAATAAAATGTTTTATTATTATTATTTTATTACTTCCCTTCTACGTGACTTTACCGAAAGAACCAATACGATGATTTATTTAATTGTTTTATTTTATTTATTTTATTATTTCCCTTCTACGTGACTACCGAAAGAACCAAGAAGATGAATCCCTGCAGTCACGATGCTTTAAATCGTCACTTAGATTAAAACCATCAGTCTAACTCCGTACTACAACGCTTGACCGCAACTTCGCCACTCTGGTCAGCGGGCGGCGGCATCGGGAGGACAATGAGCACGGACGTGGGGAACATAGAAGTACATGACAACCACTCCGCTTTGCTGCACCGCTGCCACCTGTCACTTCACACACGTGGAGAAGGAAGGGGGCGGGCACAGCGCCGGCTCATTTGCATAAACAAAGTAGTCCTCGGCGCTCGCCTGGAGGTCACCCCGCCTGTCGTGACACATTATAGTCGTCCAGCGCATTCGCCTGAAGGACCCCGCACCACGACAGTGCTTGCTGTGCAGCGTGTACGTTGAACTTCTTTCGCGCCGTACGTAGCCAAACGTGCTAAATCGGAGGCGCAGTGGCGATGGTTGGGGGTTAGAGGTGAGGGTTCACGGTGGGGTCCGAGTGTGCTGCTGCTGCTCTCGCTCCACATCTGCGAAGCTCATCCCAATCCACGTGGGTTATGTAGTCGCCCACGGCGTTCGCCTGAAGAACTCCTACAATGCAACGCTTACAAATCTAAATACGCCTTTAAAAAAAAATCCCAAGCAATATAAAAAAAATCCCAATCAAAACAGCGGTTGAACTTAAAATTATTTTCAACAAAATTTTTTTTGGTAAATATAAATTTTTTAAACCAAAGTGCACCCTTACCGGCTAATTTGCATATTATAATCTGAGTCATCCACCGCGCTCGCGCCTGAAGGACCCCGGGGCGTGCCCGAAATCAACGTTAGTAGTCCGGCGCGTTCGCCTGAAGGACCCACCCAATTCATTTAAAAAAGAAAAGAATGAAATAATAAAATAAATCCTACAAGTACAATAATGAAAATAAAATAATACGGACAAAATATTAATAAAATCACACGGATAAAATCATAAAAACAACATAATGTAAATAATTAAATATACAATAACGAAAATAAAACAATAAAAACGAAACAACAGAAAATACAATGACGAAAATAAAACAATAACAACGAAACAACAGAAAATACAATGACGAAAGTAACAAAAACAAAACAATACAAAATACAACCATAAAAATAAAATAATAAAAATTAAATAAAAAAAATAATCAGTCACGTAAGGACCTCTCATCTCAAGCCACGCCCACCTCCATCACCCGCAGCACGCGGCCTCCGCCACCTTCCCCCCGTCCACGCGCGCGTCTCAAGTGGTCGACCAACATCCGATCGATCGATCAATCGATCGACTCAGCCGGCGGTGGACGATGCTGGGAGACGCGGGCGATGTGCTCGAGGGGCTGTGCAAGGGCGCCGTGCCCGCGGGGCTGCTGCTCCTGCTGCTGCCCGCAGCCGCGCTGCTGCTGTCGCGGGCAGCTCCGGCCCAAGCGGCCCACGAGTTCCCGGCCATGCGCGCCGCGCAGTTCGACATCCACGGGCAGCAGCACGGTGCGGGGAGGGGGGGCAGTGGGGGGGGGGGGGGCAGTGGGGGGGGGCAGGGTGGGGGGCAGGGAGGGGGGCAGGGGGGCAGGGAGGATGGGGGTGGAGTGATAGCCGGATGGGCAGAGACAATCACAGTGAGTGGCAGCGTCAAATCAAAGTGGGTGGTGGTGGCGGGCAGCAGCACGGGGTAGGGTGGGTAGCAGGGAGGGGGGGCAGGGAGGGGGGGGGCAGGGTGGGGGGCAGGGTGGGGGGCAGGGAGGCAGGGAGGGAGGGCAGGGGAGATGGGGGGGGGGTGACAGCCCGGTGGGCAGAGGCAATCACAGTGAGGGGCAGCGTCAAATCAAAGTGGGTGGTGGTGGCGGGCAGCAGCACGGGGTAGGGGGGGGCAGGGAGGCGGTGGCAGGGAGGGGGGGCAGGGAGGGGAGGCAGGGAGGGGGGGCAGGGAGGGGGGGGCAGGGAGGGGGGCAGTGGGGGGGGGGCAGTGGGGGGGGCAGGGAGGGGGGGCAGTGGGGGGGGGCATTGGGGGGGGGGGCAGGGGGGGGGCAGGGAGGCAGGGAGGGGGGGCAAGAGAGATTGGGGGGGGGAGTGACAGCCGGGTGGGCAGAGGCAATCACAGTGAGTGGCAGCATCAAATCAGTGGGTGGTGGTGGCGGGCAGCAACACTGTGGGGGGCAGTGACAAAGAAAGGGGGTGGGGGGGGGGCAGCGCAGTTGGGGACGACAAAGAGCGCTTTGCCGGGGGGGGGGGGGGGCGAGCTGGGGTGGGGGGCAGCGTGTAAGGACTGTAAAGAGTGGGGGGGGGGGGGCACGGGTTAGCACGGTGGGCTACGTACGGTGCGAAAGAAGTTCAACATAGACATGCTGGACAGAGCGAAGAGGCGGGGGGGACCAGCAGGGAGGGCAGCAGTTGATGGGAGACGTCACGCGGACACGTGGAGTGGTGGTGGGTGGCGGGGCAGGGAGGGAACAGCAAGGTGGTGGTGGGTGGGGGGGGCAGAGAGGGAACAGCAAGGTGGTGGTGGTGGGTGGGGGGGCAGAGAGGGAACAGCAAGGTGGTGGTGGTGGGTGGGGGGCAGAGAGGGAACAGCAAGGTGGTGGTGGTGGGTGGGGGGCAGAGAGGGAACAGCAAGGTGGTGGTGGTGGGTGGGGGGCAGAGAGGGAACAGCAAGGTGGTGGTGGTGGGTGGGGGGGCAGAGAGGGGGCAGCAAGGTGGTGGTGGTGGGTGGGGGGCAGGGAGGGAACAGCAAGGTGGTGGTGGTGGGTGGGGGGCAGGGAGGGAACAGCAAGGTGGTGGTGGGTGGGGGGCAGAGAGGGAACAGCAAGGTGGTGGTGGTGGGTGGGGGGGCAGGGAGGGAACAGCAAGGTGGTGGTGGTGGGTGGGGGGGCAGGGAGGGAACAGCAAGGTGATGGTGGTGGTGGGTGGGGGGCAGAGAGGGAACAGCAAGGTGGTGGTGGTGGGTGGGGGGGCAGAGAGGGAACAGCAAGGTGGTGGTGGTGGGTGGGGGGCAGAGAGGGAACAGCAAGGTGGTGGTGGGTGGGGGGCAGGGAGGGAACAGCAAGGTGGTGGTGGGTGGGGGGGCAGAGAGGGGGCAGCAAGGTGGTGGTGGTGGGTGGGGGGCAGAGAGGGAACAGCAAGGTGGTGGTGGGTGGGGGGCAGGGAGGGAACAGCAAGGTGGTGGTGGGTGGGGGGGCAGAGAGGGGGCAGCAAGGTGGTGGTGGTGGGTGGGGGGGGGCAGAGAGGGAACAGCAAGGTGGTGGTGGGTGGGGGGCAGAGAGGGAACAGCAAGGTGGTGGTGGGTGGGGGGCAGGGAGGGAACAGCAAGGTGGTGGTGGGTGGGGGGGCAGAGAGAGGGAACAGCAAGGTGGTGGTGGGTGGGGGGCAGAGAGGGAACAGCAAGGTGGTGGTGGGTGGGTGGGGGGGCAGAGAGAGAACAGCAAGGTGGTGGTGGTGGGTGGGGGGCAGAGAGGGAACAGCAAGGTGATGGTGGTGGTGGGTGGGGGGGCAGAGAGGGCACAGCAAGGTGGTGGTGGTGGGTGGGGGGCAGAGAGGGAACAGCAAGGTGGTGGTGGGTGGGGGGCAGAGAGAGAACAGCAAGGTGGTGGTGGGTGGGGGGGCAGGGAGGGAACAGCAAGGTGGTGGTGGGTGGGGGGCAGAGAGAGAACAGCAAGGTGGTGGTGGGTGGGGGGCAGAGAGGGAACAGCAAGGTGGTGGTGGGTGGGGGCAGAGAGAGAACAGCAAGGTGGTGGTGGTGGTGGGTGGGGGGGCAGAGAGGGCACAGCAAGGTGGTTGTGGGTGGGGGGGCAGAGAGGGCACAGCAAAGTGGTGGTGGGTGGGGGGGCAGAGAGAGAACAGCAAGGTGGTGGGTGGGGGGGGGGCAGAGAGGGGGCAGCAAGGTGGTGGTGGGTGGGGGGGCAGAGAGGGAACAGCAAGGTGGTGGTGGGTGGGGGGGCAGAGAGGGAACAGCAAGGTGGTGGTGGTGGTGGGTGGGGGGGGAGCAGAGAGGGGGCAGCAAGGTGGTGGTGGGTGGGGGGCAGAGAGGGAACAGCAAGATGGTGGTGGTGGGTGGGGGGCAGAGAGGACAGCAAGGTGGTGGTGGTGGTGGGTGGGGGGGCAGAGAGGGGGCAGCAAGGTGGTGGTTGTGGGTGGGGGGGCAGAGAGGGCACAGCAAGGTGGTGGTGGGTGGGGGGCAGGGAGGGAACAGCAAGGTGGTGGTGGGTGGGGGGGAGCAGAGAGGGGGCAGCAAGGTGGTGGTGGGTGGGGGGCAGAGAGGACAGCAAGGTGGTGGTGGTGGTGGGTGGGGGGGGCAGAGAGGGGGCAGCAAGGTGGTGGTTGTGGGTGGGGGGGCAGAGAGGGCACAGCAAGGTGGTGGTGGGTGGGGGGCAGGGAGGGAACAGCAAGGTGGTGGTGGGTGGGGGGGGCAGAGAGGGGGCAGCAAGGTGGTGGTGGGTGGGGGGGCAGAGAGGGAACAGCAAGGTGGTGGTGGGTGGGGGGGAGCAGAGAGGGGGCAGCAAGGTGGTGGTGGGTGGGGGGCAGAGAGGACAGCAAGGTGGTGGTGGTGGTGGGTGGGGGGGCAGAGAGGGGGCAGCAAGGTGGTGGTGGGTGGGGCAGCAAAGGCCACAGCTTTCGTGGTCTTGAAACAGCAGCAGTAGCAGCAGCAGGGGGACACTGACAGCCAAGGTGGTGATGGTTGAGAGTAAGATAGCAGCCAGCCAGGGATGATGGTTGGGGCATGGGGGGGGGGGGGGGACAGGAGACGAGGAATCCCGCATCAGGAACAGGAAATAAGGGTGGGCGGGGGGCGGTGCAGATGAAAGGAATTGCAGTGGGGGGGGTGGAGATTGGGGGGCAGATTTGGGGGTTGCATCCGAGAGACAAAAATAGGCAGACGTGGTCGGGGAACAAACACAAATCAGAGAGACAGCACAGCGTGACGAGTAGAACTTGGGCAGGACACGCCGGGATGGTGGTGGTGGTGGTGATGATGGTGGTGGTGATGATGATGATGATGGTGGTGGTGGTGATGATGGTGGTGGTGGTGATGATGATGATGGTGATGATGATGGTGGTAGTGGTGGTGGTGATGATGATGATGGTGGTGGTGGTGATGATGATGGTGGTGGTGGTGATGATTATGATGGTGATGATGATGATGGTGGTGGTGATGATGATGATGATGGTGGTGATGATGATGATGGTGGTGATGATGGTGGTGGTGATGATGATGGTGGTGATGATGATGATGATGGTGGTGATGATGGTTGGTGATGGTGGTTAATGACAGCCAAAGCAGAGAACACGTTCCGGAGGGCACGTCCACCGCGGAGATGGAGCGGTGACATCGGTGAATTGGCAGGGGCGAGGGTCGCGACGGCGTTGGGAGGGGGCATTCATCCCGCAGTGGATGGACCATGGCCGATGATGAGAATGGGGGGAGGGGAGGGGAGGCATTGGCGGAGAGACCAGGGTTCTCGTTCAGCTAGGAGCTACCCGTGGCTGAACTCTGGAAAATATCCCTTTGAGAGATTTAAACCCTTAGGGGAGGGGGGGGAGACGCATGGACACGTGACACAGCAGAAGGGGGGGCAGCAGGGAGACAGGATAGAGCCTCGTGGTGCAGCTGTGGTAGTGGGATAGGGGGAGATAGGGGGAGACACTGGGAGATGAGAGGGAGAGACGCCTGTGGAGATACTGGGAGACAGGAGGGCAATAGACACGAGAGAAGATGGCGATATGTAGAGGACAATAGAGGGCACGTGTGTGTTGATGTCTTAGTGTGTGTAGTGTGTGTGTAATGTGTGTGTAATGTGTAGTGTGTGTAATGTGTGTGTAATGTGTGTGTAATGTGTAGTGTGTGTGTTGATGTCTTAGTGTGTGTAGTGTGTGTGTATAATGTGTATGTAATGTGTAGTGTGTGTGTGGTGTGTGTAATGTGTGGTGTGTGTGTGTAATGTGTAGTGTGTGTGTAATGTGTGGTGTGGTGTGTGGTGTGTGTGTGTAATGTGTAGTGTGTGTGTAGTGTGTGTAATGTGTAGTGTGTGTGTAGTGTGTGTGTGTAATGTGTAGTGTGTGTGTGTGTAATGTGTAGTGTGTGTGTAGTGTGTGTAATGTGTAGTGTGTGTGTAGTGTGTGTGTGTAATGTGTAGTGTGTGTGTGTAATGTGTAGTGTGTGTGTGGTGTGTGTGTGTAATGTGTAGTGTGTGTGTAATGTGTAGTGTGTGTGTGTAATGTGTGTGTGTAATGTGTAGTGTGTGTGTGTAGTGTGTGTGTAATTTATAGTGTGTGTGTGTAATGTGTAATGTATGTGTGTAGTGTGTGTGTGTAATGTGTAGTGTGTGTGTGTAATGTCTAGTGTGTGTGTGTAGTGTGTGTAGTGTGTGTGTAGTGTGTGTAATGTCTAGTGTGTGTGTAGTGTGTGTAATGTCTAGTGTGTGTGTGTAGTGTGTGTGTAGTGTGTGTAATGTGTAGTGTGTGTGTAATGTGTAGTGTGTGTAATGTGTAGTGTGTGTAATGTGTAGTGTATGTGTGTAGTGTGTGTGTAATGTGTAGTGTGTGTGTGTAATGTCTTAGTGTGTGTGTGTGTAATGTCTAGTGTGTGTGTGTAATGTCTAGTGTGTGTGTGTAATGTCTAGTGTGGGTATAATGTATGTGGGTAGCGGTGGCGCAATGGTTAGCGCGCTGCACTCTGAACCTGGCTCTCCGAGTTGCCACGGCTAACGTCTGCCGCACTGACCAGCGTGGTGAAGTACGGTCATCTTCTTGGTTCTTTCGGTAAAGTCACGTAGTTTTATTTCACGTATGTTTTATTTTTATTATTTTATTACTTCCCTTCTACGTGACTTTACCGAAAGAACCAAGAAGATGAATCCCTGCAGTCATGAAAGCTTTAAATCGAGAAGTACGGTCAGTCAACCCCTTTGACAGACACGGCTTTGTCAGGCCTTCATCCAGCAGTGGATTTAAACGGGACTATCCACATTGTTACTTTCACGCCGTATCATTATTATTATTATACACTGAGTATTTACTTCTTAGAGTGGCTACGTACGTGTAAACAGCGCCACTGGGGAGACAAAGGCGGCCAGGCACGGTGCTGGCCACCCGCTCCATATGTGCCGTCTTGGCTTTAATAGGTGCTCGCTAACAGCACTTGCCCCAGCAGTTTGTTAAAGGCTTACACATGGGGTATCTGTCGTCATAATGTGTGTGTATCCTATATTATGCGTGTTATTTTTGTGTCTTTATAATGTCTCTGTGTGCATCTTATTCTTGATGTACTCGTTCCTGCAGTGTGTGCCTGTTATAGTATGTTTATCTCTAAGAGTGATTTGTATGTGTGGCGTACATGTGTGTTTTGTCTTTGCGTGCGTGCGTGCACGTATATGTGGTCGACTCAAACGAGTACCTGGTGCGGCCGTGTAAACATCGCGGCCCGGCGCGGCGCTGGCCACGCGACCCCCGTCGTGTACCCTGCCCGGCCTTCGTAGGGCTCGACCCGCAAACAGCACTTGCCCTCCCCCGACGGTGCGTCGAGGCTGCACGGGGTGACCTTTGTCTCTCTGGCCGCGCAGGCTCGCGGAACGCCATCGTGAACGCGGAGGCGCGCTCGGGCGACGCCGACGGACTGTCCCGCCGCTGCGTACTGCTGCGCCTCTCGGAGCTGTCGCTGCACACGCTGCGCCACGCGCTAGCGCAGGCCGCGGCCGCCATCGTCATCTTGCTGCCGCCCGACCTCGGCAGCCTCCCCGGCGATGCGCTCGAGGTGCCCGCTAGCTCGCCCACCAGCTCGCCAGTTCGCCCGCCAGCTCGCTCGCCCGCCCGCTCGCCCGCCCGCCCACCAGTTCGCCCGCCAGTTCGCCCGCCAGCTCACCCGCCAGCTCACCCGCCAGTTCACCCACTTGCTCGCTCGCCCGTTCACTTGCTTACCCACTCACTTTACTCGCGCGCTCACTCACGTACTCACCCACTCGCCCGCCCGCCCGCCAGAGGTCGCAAACGGGTTTTGATTCTTTACCCGTACCCGGCCGCACCAGGGTCGCAAACGGGTACCCGTACCCGTACCCTACCCCCGTACCCGGCCGGGTACGGGTATCGGGTACCTGATTGCGACCTCTGGGATGAAGCATGTTGCAGGTGCGAGTGGGTTGAATCTAGGAACTTGAATTGTGGGAAGAGACAAGACGTTGGGAAATGAGTGACAAACAGTTACTCACCAGTGACTCACGGCCTACCCGTACCCGGCCGCACCAGGGTCGCAAACGGGTAACCGTACCCGGCCGGGTACGGGTAGCCGGGTATCGGGTAGGGTACGGGTATCGGGTACCCGGTTGCAACCTCTGCCACCCGCCAGCTCGCCCGCCAGCTCAGCCGCCAGCTCGCTCGCTCACCCGCTCGCTCACCCGTTCACTTGCTTACCCTCTCACTGACTCACACGCTGCCTCACGTACTTGCCCGTTCACTCGCTTACTCACCCACTCACCCGCTAGCTCAACCGCTCACTCAGCTGTTCATTTTCTCAGCCACACACTCACCCGCTCACCCGCTTACTCAACCGTTAGCACGCTTACTCACTCGCTCACTCAGCAGCTCACTCAACCGCTCACCCTCTCGCTCATTTACTCAACCGCTCCACTCATTTTCTACCTATCCACTCGTCCATCCGTCTACCGGCAGGCGAATGCCCATCGCTGAACCGCAGTCACCTTATACCACACCGGGGCGATGTTTGCTGCTGTGTACAATCCCGATGAGGTAATTTGCGCTGTAAATTTTCAAATTTGGCACATCTAGACCACGATGCCGGTGGCACGCAATGGTCTGCTCTTGCAAATGACGCCACGGCATCTTGAACATCCACTGTGAGTGACACGGACGGCGCGTGGTATTGTTATCACGGGCTAATACACACACCGCAATGATGATAATAACCAGGGCGGCCGCTAGATGCGAACCAGGGCGGCCGCTAGATTCGAACCGCGAACCTCTGCAAAGAGCGGCGAACGCGCCACCGTTGGGCTGCCGCGGCACCTCCCAAGTGGGGGATCTGCGTGCGTGCGTGTGTGTGCGTGTGCGTGTGCGTGTGCGTGTGCGTGTGTGCGTGCGTGTGTGCGTGTGTGTGCGTGCGTGTGTGTGTGTGCGTGTGTGTGTGCGCGTGCGTGCGTGTGTGCGTGTGCATGTGTGCGTGCGTGTGCGCGTGCGTGTGTGGTGTGTGTTGAACTTCTTTTACAGCGTACGTAGCCAACCGTGCTAATCGGAGAGTGCGTGTGCGCTCTCTCTCATTCTCTCTCGAGAGAGAAAGAGACATCTCGTTACGCGGAAGAGCGCAAAACAAATCCAAATTAATTGGCTCGCCCCCCTCGCCCGCCCCCCCCTCCCCCGCGTGGCACAGCGGCTGCGGGAGGTGGAGCCGGAGCTGCTGACGATGGAGACGGCGGTGCCGGTGTACCTGGCGCAGGAGGACGAGGAGCTGCTCTCCATCCACGAGCAGCTGCACGCCGCCTCCACCGCCCTGCAGCACGCCTCCGCCGCGCAGGGTACGCGCCAGGCTAGGTGCATGCATGCTGGGGGTACGCGCCGGGCTAGGTGCATGCACGCTGGGGCTACGCACCAGGCTAGGTGCATGCACGCCAGAGGTTGCAAACGGGTTTTGATTCCTTACCCGTACCCGGCCGCACCAGGGTCGCAAACTGGTACCCGTACCCGGCCGGGTACGAGTAGCCGGGTATCGGGTAGGGTACGGGTATCGGGTACCCGGTTGCGACCTCTGATGCATGCTGGGGGTACGCGCCAGGCTAGGTGCACGCACTCAAGGGGGTGCACGCGCTGGGGGCACGCGCCGGGCTTGTGCACACGCGCGGGGTGCCCGCACTCGGGGTATGTGCCAGGCTAGGTGCACACCAAAATCAAGCGTTCGTCAATTAGTATTCTTCTGCTAGGTTATTGAGGGAAACCGCACTGTGTCCCATGACTTCTTATCTGAAGGCCTCCACCAAGGTTTCACAGTCGGGTGTGCTGCTTTCTATGTAGATTCCAAATGAGTGATTGAAAATGTTAAAATCTTAATCGATAACCTCGCCGATTCAACCAATCACCGAACCACTCTCCGACTCACACCAGCCTCTATGGCACGTGAGGAAGTGGCATTGTCAGCACCATACCTGATGTTTTCACTCTACCACGTACTCATTTAAGGCTGAGTCATCGTAAGGGTGGCCCAGGATTGGTTCATTGTCTATGAGCAGGAATCGAACTCGTAATGCAGTCCGCTAACCACTGCACTACCACTCCCCACACACACAAAGACAAGATAAAGGTCCCCCGTATAGCCTTAACAGACTGTTGGGGCAAGTGCTGTTGACGAGGGGTGGGTGGCCAGCACCACGCCCGGCCGCCTTTGTCTCCCCAGGGACGATGCTAACACACCGCACCAGTTACTCATTTGAGGCTACCGAGGTGAGGCCCAGGACCAGTTCAGATAATCGTCACTGATGTTGGCCGTGAGCTGGAATTGAACTCGGGCCGCCGGGCTTGTAGCGCAGCGCGCTAACGACTGCACTACCACTCCCCACACACTCCTAACCCTTCTCTCCCCGTGTGCCCCCTCCCCGTGTAGTCATGCTGAGCACGGCGACAGCCAACGGCTTCCAGATGGTGGCAAGCGGAGGCCAAAGCAAGGCCCTGCCGGACTGGTCAATCGCCAGCATCGAGGTGCCCGATTAAGACGCCATATTGCCGCCCCCCCCCCCCCCAAACAAACCACAGTGGTGGTGGTGGTGGTGATGATAGTGCTGGTGGTGACGGTGCTGGTGGTGGTTTTGCTGATGGTTGGCGGTGCTGGTGGTGGAGGTGGTTTTGCTGCTGGTTGAGGTGGTGGTGGATGGTGACAGCGGTGATGACTGCGGGTGGTGGATCTCGTGCTGGTTATGGCGACAGCGGTGGTGATGCTGCCGATGCTGGTGATGGTGGAATTGGTGCTGCTGCTGACGTCAGTGGTTGTGGTGGTTGTGGCGGTGATTGTGGTGGTTGTGGCGGTGGTTGTGGTGCAGGGCCGGCTGCCTGGTCTGGGGGGGGACGATTTGCCGACCATCGTGATTGTGGCTCATTACGACTCGCTGGGACTCGCTCCGGTCAGTGTCGCCGCACCTCTTCATGTGTCTCACCGCACCCCACGTCAGTTTGATCACAAGGAAAGGAACAGAATATTCAAATATTGTTTAAAAAAAATTCTGTTGAAATAACGAACATTTTTTCCCATTGTGCTTCGATCACGAAATAGAGAAATGTCCATTTGGAACGAGCGGGATGGCTACGGTCATTCTTGTAACAGAGCTGCTGAGGCACAATGGGGCATCACTAGCTGAAATAATATAAAGTCTGAGAGAAGGGACACTGAAGATGACATTTACGGAATTTCTTCTGAAATCCGCGTGCGTGTGTGTGTGTGTGTAAACACTGCTCGACGACCCCGAGAGATCTGTGTGTCGATTCGGTGGCAAATATCTGAGCTGGTGCTTGGCCTCCGGTAGCTTTACTTGGCCTTAAGTGAGCACCTGCTGCAGTGTGTATGAAACATCGGCACTGCGGAGTTGCTGGCCACACAACCCCCGTCGTGCCGGCCTTAATAGCTGCGGCTCGCTTGAAGCGCTTGCCCCAACATTTTGTTAAAGTCTACGGGATGGGAGGGGGACGGGCGGGGGTAACATTTGTCTTTGTGTGCAGTGGCTGTCGTTTGGCGCGGACTCCAACGGGAGCGGAAGTGGCGGCGCTGCTGGAGTTGGCGCGTCTCTTCTCCAAGCTCTACACACACAAGCGCACGCACGCCGCGTGGGTTCACGCACGCACGCACGGGGCCCACAGTCATGTACACAGATGACAAAGATCCCACGTATAGCCTCGACACAATGCTGGGGCAAGTGCTGTTAGCGAGCACCTATGAAGGCTGGCGCGGTACACGAGGGGGTGGGTGGCCAGCACCACGCCCGGCCGCCTTTGTCTCTTCCAGGGATGATGAGGACAAACCTCACCAAGTACTATTTTAAGGCCGAGTCCACCTAGGAGAGGCCCAGGAATGGTTCAGATATTTCACAGTTATGTAGGTCGTGAATGAGAATCGATCTTGGGTTGCTGGGTTTGTAGCGCAGTGTGCTCACCACTTCTCCACCGCTCCACCCAGACAGACACGCACAGATGCACACGCGCACCCACCCACTACTCTTCCTTTCAGCGTAGCCACTCGCTTCACATTGAAGGTTGTCGCCCCAACCCATGCCTCCAGGTACAACCTCCTGTTCTTCCTGTCGGGCGGCGGGAAGTTTGGATACCAGGGAACCAAGCGCTGGCTGGAGGACAACCTGGACCACACAGGTAAGATGATCGTTGCCGGTGTTAGCCACGAGCGGGAATCGAACTCGGGTGGCTGGGGTTCGTGGCGCAGCGCGCTAACCACTGCGTTGCCGCTGCTCGCTTATGTAGTGACATAAGAAGGGAGGGGCTGCTGGGGGCTCTGGGACCCTGGGCGGGCCAGGCGCTTAAGCCGCTTGGCGCCACCAACGGGGGGGGCTGTGTGTGCTCTGTGGGATATCTGGGGGCGCACACGGCCCCACCCCTCGTTGGGGACTAGGCTTAAAAGGGGAGCTCCCTGGACGATCAGGGCCAGTCGTAGCTCAAGACCCAAGACCCACGACCAGCCATCTGAGGACCCTGGGATGCTGTGAGAACGAGTGGTGGGACTCTGGAACTCCCGACTCTACGACCTTGTGAGGGCGAGTTCCAGAGCGTAGCCAGAGTAGTGTATCTCGGCTGTGTACCTAGGCTGTGTACCTGGGAGTTGTTACAGAGTATCAGGACTGTTGGACTGTTGGAGTGTTGGATTGTAATAAAGAAGTTACCTCTACAAGTGTCTCCGGAACCCGTTAAACTTATGACAGAGAGGACGGCCGTGGATAATCCAAACATGAGACCATTTTCCGTGGATCTCTGTGCCAAAAACGATCGACCAATCGATGCGCGTGCATTGATAACAATTTCCTGCGCCCGCCCAGCAGAAGATTCGGGCCACTAAGTGGATGACAGCGGAAGCCACGCCAATCGACATCAATCAAACTCCGCCCGACTGTTGAAAAGATATTGCAACTACTTTACTGACGCGCCAATCGCATGGATTTCGAATTAACCGGAGCGCATATTTGTTCGGTTTAAGCACGTGACTTGGAATAAACATTTCCAAGAATAACAATGTGTAACTTTTAGATGATCAATTTGGACTTAAGGAAAAATCAATGAGTTATTATTTCATGGCAAAATCTTCGGTGTGCGATTAATCCGCAGATCGGATAAACTGTACGCGGATAATCGAGATTCTACTGTGGCTGAATTGATAGTTCAATAAAATTATGAGTTTAACACATAGGCTTTTGCGACCAATATTATCCATTTTAGAGGTTTTTTTGGGGTTAACTTGCGTAAATATAAATGTATCGTAAACCCACCACATTTACAATTCTAATAAGTCTTGTGGGTTTACTCTCCGACACACCGGTGTGCTGAATTAGCAACGAATTGGCACGTTTTGTTTACGTGTCGGGCAGCGGCAGGTTTTAAACGACGTATTACGCGATCTAACCTCAAAAAAACCTCTCGTGTACGATCAAATGATCGATTGGGGGGCAGCGACTGCGTGTGGCCATCGGCCGCGGTGACCGGCTGACCCGTCCGTGTCGGCGCAGATGCGAGCTGGCTGCAGGACAGCGTGGCGTTCGTGCTGTGCCTCGACACGCTGGGCAGCGGCGACAGCCTGCACCTGCACGTGTCGAAGCCCCCCAAGGAGGGCACCCCCCCCCTACGCCTTCCTCAAGGAACTCGAATACGTGAGGCCCCTTCACTCGCTCGCTCTCCCGTCTTGTCTCGCTCGCTCGCTCGCTCTCGTCTGTCTGTCCGTCTCGCACGCTGCTCGCTCCTCAGCTTGTTCACTCGCACCCGGGGGTGTGTTTCGCTCGCCCGCCCACTGGCTCGTTCTAGCTTGTTCGCATGCTCATGCTCCGTCTGGGTCGCTCGCTTACTCGCTGTCTGGCTCGTTCGCTCACACTTCGTCTGGCTCGCCCACGCTCCGCCTGGCTCAGCCGCTCACCACTTCGTCTGGCTCGCGAACGCTTCGTCTGGCTCGCGAACGCTTCGTCTGGCTCGGCCGCTCACTCGCTCTCCGTCTGGCCCGCTCGCTCACTTGCTGGCCTCACTCTGTCGATCGCTTCCCTTCCTTGAGGGGCTGGAATGCGTGAGCCCATCCACACCCCGTCGCCGTCTGACTCTTCCACACACTCGGTCCGTCCCTTCCCCTCCGTACCTTTGTGTCTCTCTGTCACTGTGTACTTATTGCTTTTTGTGTGCCCGTGTCTCTCCCATGACCTGTTGTTGTCCCTATATTCTCATGCCTCTTTGTGTCCCCGTATACCTCGTGTCTCCGTGTCCGCACGTCTACGTGTGTACCCGTGTCTTTCTAAATGGCCGCGTCTCTTTTGCGCCCCCCCCCCATCGCCCGTTGTCGTCTTTGCGTTGTCTTCCTGTGTCCCCAGCTTCATGTCGCATGTGGCTACGCGTACACCTGCGCGAGTGTGTGTGTGTGTGCGCGCGCGTGAGCGAGTGAGTTGGCACGGCGGCTGGGGGGGGGGGGGAGGCACAGGTGGCGGTCATCTCGGTCATTTCACCCACAACACCCCAGTCTGCCCCGTGACCTGCGACGTGGCCTCCTGTCGCACCGAGCGACGCCGCGCCGTGACGTCACCGCCGCGCGGTGACGAACCGCGCTTGTTGCCGCCGTGCGGCGTGTGCGTGCCGCAGGTGGCGGCGAGCCAGCACCCGTCGCTGCGCTTCTCCATGCTGCACAAGAAGATCAACCTGGCGGAGGAGACGCTGGCGTGGGAGCACGAGCGCTTCGGCATCCGCCGCCTGCCCGCGTTCACGGCCTCGCGCCTCGACACGCACCGCCGGCCCGAGCGCGCCACCATCGCCGACGTCGGGTGCGGCGGCGGGGAGTGGGGGACGATGGGGGGTGTGGGGAAGGGGCGGGGAGGGGCTAGGTACGGGCCTCCGCACGGCACGCTTGCACGCCCGGCAGCGTGCTTGCGCGAAATCGCGCCCGCGTGCATTTTCTGCGCGGCACATGCCGCGCGTGCAAGACAGACGAAGGTCCCCCGTGTAGCCTGAACAGACTGTTGGGGCAAGTGCTGTTTAGCGAGGAGCACCTATGAAGGCCGGGATGGCACACGTGGGGGTGGGTTGCCCACACCACGCCTGGCCGCCTTTGCAGGTACTCATTTCAGGCTGAGTCGACCTAGTGGAGGCCCAGGAATGGTTCGGATAATGCTCACTGGCGTTGGCCGTGAGCGGGAATCGAACTCGGGTCGCCGGGTTCGTAGTGTCGGCACGCTTACCAATGCATTACCGCTCCACACACACACACGCTCGTCCTGAAACCCATCGCACGCTTGCTAGCATGCTCACACGAGCAAACTCGCACCAACATGGACGCGCAACGCAGACGTACTCGTAGACGGAGGTAAGTTATGGGCTTCCGCCAGGGTTTATTAAAGCTTATCAATATTACACAGCAGGGTACACAACTCCCAGGGACTAGGGGTCCTACTCTGAGTCTGGGTCCCTGCCGGCTAGCTCCGGTCTCTCTCGTGTCGGATCCTGGACTCTGCCGACTCCACCGACCGGAGATAGAGCACCTCTACGGCTACCACCGGCTTCTCCCCAGACTCACTATTTGATCCCTCTCTCTACCCCTGGTTTCCTCTCCACCCTGCTTACTCTACCCGTTCCCACAGTGACCCCGCTTACGTCACGGGGTATCCCTTAAGTACCCCAGGAGACGTGACGTCATGTGCACTGAACGGCACACCTGACGTCACGTCCCCATTTTACTCCTCTACACAGACGCCGGGACGCGCGGAATGTTGACCACGCGCGGGTGTGTCCCACTCGTGTGCTGGTGCAGGTCCCAGGTGGACATCACGAAGCTGAGTCGGAACGTGAAGATCCTGGGCGAGGCGCTGGCGCGGTACATCTACAACCTCACGGGGAAGGTGAGAGGGGACGCTGGCCGCACGTGATCAATCACTTGCCAATTGTGGGGTTTGGAAACCATTCTTCAATGTCGCCCCCTTCCTGAGAGTTGGGCTTTCCCGGTTCATAAAAAAACCGTTCTTTTTGATAGATGCGTGTCCATCTTGCTGTTGCCTGCGTCTTATCGCCGTGTCGCCTGTCCTCTGTGTCTCATCCCAGGGCACGACAGGAGAGTTTGAGGTGTTCTCAGAGCAACTGGTAAGTGGGACAAACGGTTTTGACAACCCCTCCCGTGCGTGCCCCCTCCGGCCTGTCGGCCTACCCCTTTACCCTTGCACCCCTACTCCGCTGACATCGCTGCACCCCCGCCACCCCACTACGCCTGTCACACCACTACGCCTGCCCCCACACCCCGTACCAGAGGTCGCAAACGGGTTTTGATTCCTTACCCGTACCCGGCCGCACCAGGGTCGCAAACGGGTACCCGTACCCGTACCCTACCCGTACCCGGCCGGGTACGGGTAGGGTACGGGTATCGGGTAGGGTATGGGTATCGGGTACCCGGTTGCGACCTCTGCCCCGTACCCTGCACCCCTGCCACCCCACTAACCCTGTAACCCTACTGTCCCCCCCCCAACCACCCCCACCCACCAGCGCCTGCAGGAGGAGCAGATGGGCGCCATGGTGGACTGGCTGGCGTCGCAGCCGCGCGCCGCTCCGCTCGTGGGGCCGGACCACGCGCTCGTGACGACACTCGAGCACCACATGGGGCGCTACCTCAAGGATGTCCGCACGCACAACGTGCGCGCCGACAAGAGGTAGCCAGGCGCTCGGTTGCCAGGCGCTCGGTTGCCAGGTGCTCGGTTGCCAGGCGCTCGGTTGCCAGGCGCCCGGTTGCCAGGCGCCCGGTTGCCAAGCGCTCGGTTGCCAGGCGCCCAGTTGTCAAACGCCCGGTTGCCAGGCGCCCGGTTGCCAGGCGCCCGGTTGCCAGGCGCCCGGTTGCCAGGCGCCCGGTTGCCAGGCGCTCGGTTGCCAGGCGCCCGGTTGCCAGGCGCCCGGTTGCCAGGCGCCCGGTTGCCAGGCGCCCGGTTGCCAGGCGCCCGGTTGCCAGGCGCCCGGTTGCCAGGCGCCTGGTTGCCAGGCGAGGCAGCGCCAGACACGCGCAACGTGCGCGCACGCAAGAGGTGCCACGGTGCATCAGAATCGGCAATCGGAACAAACGATGGTTATGGGCATTTTAGTCATTATCTCGACGATTTAATCTTTGTTTATACTGGAGGAATCCGATGAGCCATGAAGCTCTTTTCACAGATGTTCAGTGGGGGCACGGGGGTCAGAAAGTTACAACAACAAACAATGCGAAAAAACACGATAGGAGTGCAAAGTCTAGGAGAGGTAAATAAATCGCAAGGCAAAAAAAAAATCGACCTTGATTTTAGCAGGTAAGGGGCCCGCTGGCCACGAATGATAGCTCAACGAAGTGGCTTATCGCGTGGAAATGTGTAGCAGCCGACAGTAGGCGAAGAGTCTCGGCGAGGCTTCGCTGGTTGAATAACGTCCAGAGCTGACGCTTTAGAGTCCTCGCCAAGATGGCGAAAAAGGCGCAAAGGTGCAACCCCGCAGTGGCTTGGCTAACGCAGAGGTCGCAACCGGGTACCCGATACCCGTACCCTACCCGATACCCGTACCCTACCCGATACCCGTACCCTACCCGATACCCGGTTACACGTACCCGGCTAGGTACGGGTAGCCGTTTGCAACCCTGGTGCGGCCGGGTACGGGTACGGGTAGACCGTGAGTCACTGGTGAGCAACCGTTTGTCACTCATTTCCCAACGTCTTGTCTCTTCTCACAATTCAAGTTCCTAGAATCAACCCACCCGCGCCTGCAACATGGCTTCATCCCAGAGGTCGCAATCAGGTACCCGTACCTTACCCATACCCGGGCGAGTAGGGTACGGGTACGGCCAGGTATGGGTACCCGTTTGCGACCCTGGTGCGGCCGGGTATGGGTAAGGAATCAAAACCCGTTTGCGACCTCTGGGCTAACGGCATCGCTGGCGGGAGGGCCCTCAGCAAAGACGGAGCCATAGAGAGGCCCCGCTGGAGTGTATTTGGCCTACTCTTGCACGCTGGCCAAGATATCTTGAACGGGGGTGGGAGTGTACCCACATTATACAGGGTGCTTCCAAAAATGTCAACACTTATATGGGATAATACACTGCAACATGATAACAAATGTATGTTAATAGCTTCAAAAAGTCGAAGAGTCTCCACTTCCTCGCCATCATTGTCAACGCGTGCCCGGAGGCAATTTTCTTGTGGTATCGTTGCAAATTCTCAGAAGTGTTAACATTTTTTAGAAGCACCCTGTAATATACACCACCGCACGTGACCAGCCGATCAACTAACTGGCGTACTCATGAATACTGCTGGTTGGACAGAGGCCGTCAGGGATTTAATAAAGCAACAAGATTCAAGTTCAAGTTCATGTATTCGGTATAGCCCTGTGAGCCATTCGGCTATTGAATCGGGTGCAACCGCAACAAACAAAAAACAAAAACATGAACAAAAAACATCTTAAAGTGAATATGTGACTGAGTGCAAACAGAAAATCCAAGAAAAAAAAGACAGCAAAATATTGCAGAAAAAAACACCGCACACCAACGCTGTGTGCAAAAATCCCAGTGGGATGCAAGTCAAACAACCAACAACAACCACAAGATAACTTAGATTAAGGCCATCAGTCTAACTCTGTACTACAACAAACAAACATGGCTAAACCAATACACTTTTCGAAATCACCAAAATAAATCCATGAAACCAATGAAACAGTGATCATAGGAACTGTGACGGAATTTTCACAATAAATGGCATAAACAACATGTACTACCAAAACCCTGCAGCCATAGCTGGCTGCAAGATTGAACTCTCAGTAAAAGTGGAGTAGAATTTGTCGGGCCCTGCGGGGTTGATGATTATGTGCTGAGCTGACCTTTGAACTCCTACAACGCTCCGCTGACCCGGTGTTGTAACAATGTGTTACAGAGAACCAGAGTTCCTCTTTTACGATCAGCTGAAGCAGACGATGAATGCCTATCGGTGAGTAACCTGCTACCATCATCATAATCATCCTCAACGTCGTCATAATTTGCGTAATTGTAATTTAACAAGGCCCGGCATCGCCGCCGTCATTAATAGGGCCATCGACAATATCATTGCCGTTGTCATCTTCGCGATGAACGTCAGCTGGAAAGACACACAGCAGCTTCACTCCCTGCTGCGAAAACTTGGCGGGGACTTTTTGAAATGAGTCCTGAGACTCTGTGAGGCTTTTCTGAGTAAACTAGCGTAGCCATTAAATTTCGATTTAAAGCTTTCGTGACTGCAGGGATTCATCTTCTTGGTTCTTTCGGTAATGTCACGTAGAAGGGAAATAATAAAATAATAAAAACAAAACAATAAAATACAATTATCACGACGTTTCGGCCACAACGCAAGCAGCCGTCCTCAGGTGAAGAACAGGTCTGTCGGAAAGACAGTGTCTGAATTTGCAACAATACCACAAGAAATCATTCAGACGCTGTCTTTCCGACAGACCTGTTCTTCACCTGAGGACGGCTGCTTGCGTTGTGGCCGAAACGTCGTGATAATTGTATTTTATTATGTTTTATTTTTATTATTTTATTATTTCCCTTCTACGTGACATTTTCCGAAAGAACCAAGAAGATAGCGTAGCCATGATAATAACAACTCCCACGTGGGCTCCCCGGTAGAGCCTAGCGAGGCAGGATTTCCCCCCCCCTAAAATGTTGTGGGTTATGGATCAACACCACAGCGATGACAAACATGACCATTGGATTGTTTCTTTTTAAGTGGCCAATGTGTGAGGGGAGCTGTGGGGGGAGCGGGAGTGTAGCAGTGAGCGCGCTGCACTACGAACCGGGCAACACGGGTTCGATTCCCGCTCATGGCCAACACCAGTGACGATTTTCTGAACCGGTCCTGGGCCTCCCCTAGGTCGAATCGGCCTTTGTATCCCACTAGGGAGACAAAGGCGGCCGGGCGTGTAGCTGGCCACCACTCCCTCGTGTGCCGTGCCGGCCTTCATAGGTGTTCACTAACAGCACTTGCCCCAACAGTCTGTGAAAGACTATACGGGGGATCTTTGTATTTGGGGGAAGGGGCGACAGCACACACTGCACTGCAGACCTGGCAACTATAGAGTTGGATTGCTGGGCCCTTGCTCAAAGTTGATTCGGCCTTAAGTTACTAACTGGTATTCGGTGTTCAATAACGTCGGCACAGCATTTCGACCAAGAGCCTGTATGGCTATATGGGGGATATTTGTCCTCTGTATGTCTAGCAAATGTATCATCTCTAAATTGTGTACGAGACTTGTTGTGTGTCCGTGCGTATGTATGTAACTGGTGAATCTGCCAGTCATCTCAGTCAACCCATGGCACCTGGGTCTGTCCTGTGACCTCCTGTCAGCGAGCCTTCGACACTTCACGTGGCCTCAAAGTGCACCTGGCCTGGCACAGGCGCCGTGGTGTTGTCACCGTCACTTAGTGGCGAATGGCGGTTGTGTTGATATTGGTGTGTAACTTTGTGTGTGTCTGTAGATATGTTTGCATATGTGTATATATCAGTGGTTGCCTTAACAGTCTATAGGTGCCATGTGATGGGGATTTTTTTGTGTGTGTGTGTCCGTCTGGCAGAGTGAAGCCTGCAATTTTTGACCTGATCTTGGCAGTTGGGATTGCGGCCTACCTGGGCGCGGTGTACCTGGCTATACAGGTGAGAAGTGGGTAATTTTAATTGGGGAGTATGGTCATTAAAGGTGCAGCCGTTTCTTGGTTTTGCGCTTATCCACGTAAAAAACGGGATTTACATGAAGACACTTGAATGTGATCAAATTGCATGTTAAAACATTGCCCAGGGACTACATCTCATCGTATATTGGAAGCTAAGCTGGTGTTTGAGCCCGCATAGTGCTTGGATGGGCGATCATCATCGTGCCTATGGAACAGGCCTTGTAGGCTGCTGCGGTCCTTGTGTCTTGGATGGCAGTGCAGCATAACCAATTGTTGTACCGTACATCTACGCTCTCACGTCTGTGCTGCTCTGTTTACCAACCCGCACTGACCAGGATAGCAAAGTCCAGTCAAATATCCGCCACAAAAATCCACTTGGTTTGGTGCGGACGCTCTCATCCAGCAGTGGATTGACACACGGGCTGTACATGTCTATGTCTGGACATCTGTAAAAAAAAGAGCTTTAATAGCTCATCGAATTCCTCCATACTCTTTGGTTCTTTCGGTAAAGTCACGTAGGTAGAAAAATAATAGATCACGACGTTTCAATCGCAACACAAGCAATCGTCATCAGGTGGGACAACCACAGCAAGAAAAAACTGCTCCAGTATGGTAAAAAAAAATGTATTTTCACGCAAGTTAACGGGTTACTTTTCCTCTTCGCAGAACTTCGGGCTGCTGTACGAGACCATGCGAAGACTCAACGCTAAGCCAAAGCTGCAGTGAGCAGCAGCAATCACACACACATCCCCGCACACATACACACATCCCCGCACACATACACAGAGACAATACCCAATATAGGCACACAGACTGTTTGGGGCAAGTGCTGTTAGCGAGCACCTATGAAGGCCGGCACGGCACACGAAGGGGCTGGGTGGCCAACACCACTCCCGGCCGCCTTTGTCTCCCCAGTGGTGATCTTTACACACCACACCGGGTACTCATTTGAGGCTGAGTCGACCTAGTGGAGGCCCGTGTCCGGTTCGGTAAATTGTCACTACTGCTCGCTAGCACCAGGCACACACGCACGAACGCGCACGCACGTACTTGCAGACGCAGAAGGCGAGGGTGAAGTGGGGGGGCACACAGAGCCTCCCCCACCTACCAGAGGTCGCAAACGGGTTTTGATTCCTTACCCGTACCCGGCCGCACCAGGGTCGCAAACGGGAACCCGTACTCGTACCCGGCCGGGTACGGGTAGGGTACGGGTAGCGGGTACCTGATTGCGACCTCTGGGATGAAGCCATGTTGCAGGCGCGGGTGGGTTGATTCTAGGAACTTGAATTGTGAAAAGAGACAAGACGTTGGGAAATGAGTGACAAACAGTTACTCACCAGTGACTCACGGTCTACCCGTACCCGGCCGCACCAGGGTCGCAAACGGGTACCCGTACGGGTAGCCGGGTGTAGGGTACGGGTATCGGGTACCCGGTTGCGACCTCTGCCACCTACCCACCCACCCGCACGTTCCGTTTGCGAGTTGCAAGCGGGTGATCGGAGGATGGCGTGAGTGATGCGGAAGCCAGAACTGTGGACTCTTGCCGTGACGCATTCGTATCCATTCTCGCGATGAACGTGTCAACTGGAGAATGCATTTTTATTTAACTTGCACTTCGAGATTGAGTCGCGTGATCTACGTCCAGCAGAGGGGAGGGGGGTCTGCATTGCGCCACAATGTTAAACATGTTTTTATCATATCCTCCAGATTATAAGATCCACTTTCCCCCACTGCATTTTCAAGCAAGGGTTGCATTCTATAGCCCAGTATGTGCGTGGTGTGAGACCGGATTAGTTTAACTTGTTTGGCACTCACCGCCACATGTTTGGAATGCGTCACTTCCTTTCCGGAGAATCTCACAATCCGGAGAATACGGTAATAATAGTTATAGTAATAATAATAATATATTATTGAATTGAGTCATGACCCCGAATCGTCACATATCCAAAATGGCGAGGTCGTGGTGGGGGGGAGGGGGTGGGTTGGTGAACGGATTGGTCAATTCTAGATTTGAAGCTTTCGTGACTGCAAGGATTCATATTCTTAGGTTTTTTCGGTAAAGTCACGTAGGTAAAAAATTAAAATTTAAATTAATAAAAGTTAAATTTAAATAAAATTAAAATCACGACGCTTCGGAGGCAACACAAGCTTCCGTCTTCAGGTGGAACCGTCACAGCACGATTGCTGCATCAAGTAAGAGAAATTGCTGCATCAATGGTTACGTCCAGACATGGGGGTTACTTATATTTGTGATTGCGTCATTGATAAGAAATTGCCAGCACAGTGTTATCGTCATTTGGGCTACCATTGCCGCTGTGCCCGCAATTACAACTGTGACAACCCAGGCGTGGCTTTTGTCCAAGGTGTTTAAGTCCAAGCCGTCTCGCACTCCGCTGGCCGATTGGAACAACGCGAGCCAATGTCGTGTGGTCGTCACCCGTGCGTGCGTGCACATGCTGTCTAGTAGCACTGCAGCTGAATTGTAAAACAAAAAAACGAGGGTTGCCGCGATATGGAGAATCGACTATCTGTCACGCAATGTAAGATCCACGATAATCGTATCAGTGTGGCTTGCAAAATACCGTCACGTGATTATCCTCGCTAATTTTTATTGTTCGCAATGCTTTATTTCCTGACGAAATATGCAAACTTTTTAAAGGTCTAAAAAATAAATCGTCGCTCTTTCCCCGTTCAATTGGTGCCAATTGGTGCCGGAGTAATTGACAGCATGTCGGTCATGTGGCATCAACTCTAAATGACTGCGGGCGGGGGGAGATTTTAGGCAGCAGCAAGGCTTACGTTGAGCTAACTGCAGTCGAAATAACTCTTGAGCAATCTTTACTCGTACTTGAAACACACCGGGGCACGATAAAAAGACGGTGACAATCTGAAATGGAATTACAAACTCGAGGGAATATCTGCTCGTCGCGACGATCGGCAGATCGTAGGAACGGGCGTCGTTCTCGTGGAAAAAGATATCGCGGCAAAAACCCTCCTGCAAACCGAACACTGCATGCACTGTTACGCGTCGGGCAACGGTGTCACGGCGCTGCAGGGACGCGCCCTGGGGGCCAAGTGACAATGCGTTCGGCTCATCGATCGATCGAAATCGAAATGCGACGTTCGCGGAAAACGCGTCGAAGCCGCTCGCGCGACAATCGATTATCCGCGACAAGCGACGACGTGGCCCGCGTTTTATTACGCTTACGGTAACAGGGGGAGCGAACAAAACTACAAAACGAATCGAACAACGCAGAGGCGAATGTTAAAACTTGACTGCGGGAAAAACGTGCGGTGGGTTTTCTGGGTGTTGCCCCCCCCCCGCGCGTTGTTCGACTTCGCATCCCGATGTTTCGCTGCAACGTCGCTTGGGGAGCCTCTTCACATCCGGAGACCTGCTCTCGGCACAAGCGCGAAAAACCTCGACGGCACCTGCAGAAAATAATTGGTTCGTTCAATCGAAAATTCCGCCGCTCGCGAATATCTTTGACAATTCCGTCGAATCGCCGGGCACGGATCCAACCGTTTTACGTGTCTAGGCTTTACAGCGAAATGATCGCTGGGTTCTCAAATCGAAGAGGACTTTGCGAGCTTCTCTCCGCACCACCCCCCCTCTCCTCCCTGGGCTTTCTCCTTCATCAACTCCCGTCGGTTTACTGCCGCCAAAATAAACGAGCGCTGTAAAGCGCGCGCACCGGTTTGATAGCGCTGAACGTCGCGAGCAAAGGCGTTGATTAATCGAGGGGGTGGTCTAAGGTTTTGCATGGTGTGTTTTTTATTAAATCTGTGATCGGTGATGAAGCCCCCCCCCTTCCCCGCGAGGCGGAGCGTGATATGAGACTTGTGCGAAGGGGTCGAATCTGCGGAGCTTAAATTGAGTGGTGGCGGGGTCGCTCCCTCGGGGTTGAGTGTTTTGTCTTCGGCTCAAAATGTGAACAATTTAAAAGATTTGCTAAAGATGGTGATACAAGTCCATGTGTGTGTGTGGTGTGGTTCCTTTTTAAATCTTTTATATTAAGTTCACTTGCTTGCTTGCTTAGGACCGTGCAAATCTTTCGGTCGTTTTTTAACCCACTTCCCGTGATCCAATCGAGCTGCAATTTCCACACAGACTCGTTGTGCGTGACAATTAATGTTCGTGAAAATTTTTTTCCAAAATTTTACACTTTTTAGGACAAAAATATTACATTTAATTACCAATTGCTTAATGCTGCCATGCAATCATCTGACCCATAGGTGGCAGCCATCTCAAGCCAGAGGACGAGAGGACTCTAGCCGCCACGCATATAAAGGATTTATAGTGAAAAACTTAGTTTTTACGGGTTATACTTGTTAGTCGGCTGGTCATGAAGCCCGTCTTGGTATCTTTTGTTTGGGTCATACTTTTTCCTCCAATCCCCGTAGTGGTACGTCAAGTGTCATTGAAATGAGATGGCCGCAGAGATTTTCCAAAGAATTGATCACGAAACGTCATTCAAGGGCCATTTTAATATTTTGCACAGTAGGGGAGATTCTTGGACACTGTGATATGAGATTGTCACAATGACAGGGTTATTGCAAACACTGCGGCGGTGTTTGTCAAGCTGCCCATTGGAGCCAAGGAGGTCGCCATACCATTGCTCGGCAGAAGAAGGCGGTCCAGCAATGTGCGGACTAAGCTTTGTTTAATATTTAAAGGTTTTTGGGTTGAATCGCGTTAAGTGTAAATGTGTCGTAACCCTCCACCACCCGACACAGCCAGCAAGGTTTGTCACGTGCACAACGCACCAATTAGTTACTACAATTTGAGTACTCTAAATGTTGTGGGTTTACTCTCTAACACAATGACGGCCTGCAGTACAATTCCAATTCCTGTCCCGTGGGCATCGAGAAGGAATTGTATATCCTGGCTTGCCGGGAGGCGAGACAGCAAATGTGGACTCCCACCGCTTCCATCTGTATGGGATCGAGTGTTGCACCCTCGCACCCATGGGTTTTTCTCCAAGTTCTAGATTTGAAGCTTTCGTGACTGCAAGGATTCATACTCTTAGTTCTTTCGGTAAAGTCACGTAGGTAAAAAATTAAAATAATAAAATCACGACGTTTCGGAGGCAACACAAGTCTCCGTCATCAGGTGGGACCGTCACAGCCAAAACGTCGTGATTTATTATTTTTTTATTAATTTTAATTTCATTTTTTACCTACGTAACTTTACCGAAAGAACGAAGAGTATTTTCTCCAAGCGCTCCGGTTTTGGACAATAATACCTAAATACTGTATGTAGAGGGCAGCAGAGCTTGGGAAATTTGGCGCCGGCTCAACGTGCGGCTGCTGCCTTTCACAAATTCTCATCCAACATGAAGAGCCTCCAAATGTAAACTTTGCAAGGTTTGTGCAGAGATGGCACGTGAAAGCTCATTTCGACGAGGCTCCTGTGGTTTGTTTTTTAAATCTTTTATATTAAGTTCACTTGCTTGATAATTGGTTCTTTACCCTTCTATCTGGCAACAAAACTGACACCTTTTTGCAAGGAGTCATGTTTGCATAGACCGCAATACCTGCAGTCATAATACAAACAAAAGAACATAACTCTGATAATGTGCACTGTCCTTGAAGTTGATTGGTCCACACCCGAGACAGCTTTCCTTCGAGCCTAGTCTCCTATGGGTTGGACCAGATGACGCCAAAAGGCGCACAACTCAAGGACAATGCACCATCAGAGTATGAGAGCTCGGGGCAAGCATCTACACTATGGGGACCTCATTTGCCAGTAAAAATATGATAATTGGTTCTTTACCCTTCTATCTGGCAACAAAACTGACACCTTTTTGCAAGGAGTCATGTTTGCATAGACCGCAATACGACCGTGCAAATCTTTCGGTCGTTTTTTAACCCACTTCCCGTGATCCAATCGAGCTGACATTTTCCACACAGACTCGTTGTGCGTGACAATTAATGTTCGTGAAAAAAAATTCCAAAATTTTACACTTTTTAGGATAAAAATATTATATTTAATTACCAATTGCTTAATGCTGCCATGCAATCATCTGACCCATAGGTGGCAGCCATCTCAAGCCAGAGGACTCTAGCCGCCACGCATATAAAGGATTTATAGTGAAAAACTTTGTTTTTACGGGTTATACTTGTTTTTTGCTGATTATTTATCTCGCATTTGTCCAAACTGAGACAATTCTCGATTTAAAGCTTTCGTGACTGCAGGGATTCATCTTCTTGGTTCTTTCGGTAAAGTCACGTAGAAGGGAAATAATAAAATAATAAAAATAAAATCATTCTCACGACGTTTCGGCCAAAACGCAAGCAGGCGTCCTCAGGTGGAGAACAGGTCTGTCGAGAAGACAGTCTGAATCTTCTCGACAGACCTGCTCTCCACCTGAGGACGGCTGCTTGCGTTGTGGCCGAAACGTCGTGAGAATTATTTTATTATGTTTTATTATTTTATTATTTCCATTCTACGTGACTTTACCGAAAGAACCAAGAAGATGAGCCGATTCTCTTCAACGTAACCGGCTCCATTCGTAATCGACATCGAATTTGTGTTCGATTCCTCGGGGCATCCACGAATTTCCGCCTCCGAAGGTGGGAAACCCCCTATAAGCCACGCCCAGCTGCGTGACGTGGCAAAACGCGCCGATGACGTGGCCAACAACCTCCCGTCCAGCGGCACACCGTGAAAAAAACGGTAGACCCCGTTCCCCCGTCCAAAATATCGTCACTTGATTAACCAATCGCACCGATTATCGGTGGTTGAATCGATTACACAGGACTTAAATCGGATAGGCCAGCTGAAAACATCTGTGACGAGTTTGATGGAACAAAGGCGTGGGCTTTGTGGTGATTATCGGATTAAATCACGTGGGCAGAGTGCATTGTATTGCAACGTTAATTGGCAAGGGCACAGATTATTGTGGACTTGAGGTAATTATCGGGGTAAAAATTACGTCATTGGTAAATTATCGGGGTAAAAAAAAAAGCACGTGGGCATTGGTATTAATTATTGGGTTAAATCACGTGGGCATTGGTAGTAATTATTGGGTTAAAATCCGTGGGCATTGGTAATAATTATTGGGTTAAATCACGTCAGCGGAGTATTGTATTCCAGACCCCCCCGTTGTTTCCCGCGCAAATGCAAGGCGGCACGTGCACGTGACGTCACGACCCCCCGTGCACGACACCCCCCCCCTCCCTGTGCACGACCCCCCCCCCCCCGTGCATTGCCCCCCCCCCCCCCGCACAGCCCCGCGTTAACCTCGCCGCCTGCCCTCATTAATTCTCGGCATTAGTGCGGGAGAGGGAGGGGGGAGGGATGAACCGCGCTCGGTAATTTCCGTCAGCCAATCGGATCGCTTCAACCGCCGTTCGCGGTGACCTCACCGCCCAGTCGCGGCGCGATTTTAAATCGTACAACGTATAGGCGGGGGCAAGCCTCGGGCCGATCGGCTCGGCCGCTCGGCTTATCCGCTCTGGGAAATCTACGCGGCATCGTCGCCGCGTCGTCACGTTTTCCCTCCGCCGTGCTCCGGCTCGCCCCCCCCCCCGCCCCGCCCCCCTCCCCCCCCCGCCCCCCTCCCCCACCGCCAGCCGCGGCCGCATCACCGCCGCGGCTCGCGGTGATAAGGCGAGCGGGGAAAGTAGGGCCCTGAGGCCTGGGGCCCCCGCGCGTATGGAAATCGGGAATTTAAGGCGAATTTAGTTGAAGCGTCGCCACCGATGCCATTCGCGCTCAAGTAGGGCGACGTAAGAAGACTCGGACACCGTCGGAGCGTCGCGTTTGAAGGTAATTGCGGTGTAAAATGACCGCGCTGTAGCTGTAACAGAGGCTTACGATGATACGGTATTCATAAAGAGCCTGGCGGCAAGTAACGCATAATTCCTCGAATATAAAGCGAACTTTAATAAAGAAAAGTATGTTTCGTTTGCCTTTAACCTCCTCACGTGTCGTGGTTTCTTTTACGTAACGCCGAGTCGTCTCGATGTCGATTGATTTGTGAATTCGTTGTTTGAGGCCTTCGCCGGAGTAGGTTGGGCGGCCCTGCCGGGTCGGATCGCTTCTTGCGCGGGTAGGAAAACTATCCGAGCAGCGGGGTCTGAGCGATACCCCGAGGGGCCTGCTGTTAATGCTCTTGTTTATTTGTGAACATTTTACAAGATTAACAGGTTTTAAAACTACAACAAGTATATTGTACATGAACAACAATACAGGTAAACGGATAGTTGTCATCACAAGCACTGTTTCGTGAACGTCCTTCCCCAAACAGACATTGACCAAACACTTTAATCTAATACATAAGCGCACTATTAGAAGGTAAATGCTTAAACGGATAAACAGGATACGTTAATGGGTAATAAACATTGCGTTTGTGGATTATGTTTGTATTTGCTCAGACCGTTGTCAATCCACAGCTTGGGTTAGGGCACTCACCATGCCGGTCGCGGGGTGGGTTTGGTGGTTTGTCAACGTTTCTTTTTCTCGCCTGTTTGTCGTTTGTAATATATTGTTGTGTTCCCCTTTATGTATCAAACATGCTTGGTATTCCCTACATCATCACTTCGCCAGCTCGCGCGCTGACCAGCGCGATGAAGTATGGCCAAATGATCCTTCGGTGGATTGACACGACTTTGTTTCGTGCGGTGTTTACGGGCCATTGAGCGGCTGACAACAACAACAAAAACTTTTCAAAAAGCAAATCATTGTCCAGGTTGTACATCCCGAAATACTGTACCTGTCGTCGTGTTTTTTTATCTCCCCCCCTTGTGTTCTCGCCATATTTATAAAGGTCGCGTTTGCATGTACAGTAATGTCTGGTGTTTATAACTGGTGTTAATTCGCCTATTGCGTGGGAAAATCGCCTGCCGTGTTTTTGTACCGTCGATTATTTCCGAGCCCTCTTTTTGAAGATTGTTGCCCCCCCCCCATACCATGCCTCATGGTGGGGTGGCTGATAAACCCGATTTAGACGAGTAATCCGACTAATCGGTGGAGTAATCTTTTGCTTAAATGGTTGGATTGGCCAACTGTCAAAAAAAATGTGCAGTTAGAATCAGAAATGTTTATACTGGAGGAAATCATATGAGCTATCAAGCTCTTTTTTTTACAGATGTCCAGTCGTGGTGGGTCAGAACGTTACAACAACCAATACAAAAACACGATGGGAGTGCGTATTATAGGAAGGGTACACATTGACAATTGGTTGCAGCTTCTGTAGCCCCGTGTACTTACATTTATAAGTGCCATGATTTTTATTAGCCATCGGTGTCCTTTGAACCAGGTGATAGCCCCATTGAGTTGTATTTGTCCCATTGTTAGTTACACTTATCTTGAGCCAAACTTTGGAGCCTTTGTTATATTCATTTGTTTCTTGCAAATCATTCCCGTAGTTATAATCGTCACTGCCATCATCCTCATCACCTGCTGTGTATTCCACGACCGAAAAGCACAGCAGTGTGTCTGTAAACACGGAGGACTGATTAAAAATGAAACCGCATCATTATTGTTAAATAAAGATGTTGGCAAGAGCAGGTCACGGTAATTTAATTAAAAATAATTTGACAATTAAAAAAAACAACACGCCAATGTACCTCCAAAAAGATCTCTCAATTGCTGCTGTGCATTGCTTGCTCTGAAAGGGATCAGAAATGTAGATGATGACAAAGTCGGACAAACTGATAACTGCGCTTAAAAAGCATTTTTCAGGGGAATGCTGGTAATTAAACAGAGACAAAAAAAGAGTTGCACAGTAGTAGGCTTGAGCGTGAGAAATTTGTTGAGGGGGTGGGATAAAGTTGATAGCCAGTGGGCTGAGACCAGTGACGAAATAGCAGCCAAAGGATGGAAACGCCCAAGGGTCTGTGCGCGCACTCTGAGATGCGAACAGCAAGATCGGCTTGTGTGCAGGACTGACGTGGATTTGGCATCGCAAGACCACGAGGAATGGCGCTACGTCGGGGAGGCCTGCATTGAGCAGTGTTTAGAACCATGGCTGTTTACACTTGTCTACTCTTGAGTCACCAGAATTGAGCGAGTACAGTTATTGCCCAATGGACCGGACTTTACGTCAAGAAAGGCCCCATCGCGCGATTTTGCGAGAAGGCAAAAATAGCTGTGTGGAGAAGACCATCCCCTGCCACAGAGGTGTGGAATTTACACAATTGGCGAAGGGTGACTAATGTAAGGAGCAGACGAACTCGTCATAACAGTAAATGAAATAACAGATTGACGTTTCAGGCAGTGGGCCCTCCTTCAGAGCAGAGCGAAATGGCAGAGCATATCTCTGGCGTCTCTTATAGAGGTTATATTTGGAGATCGAACTTTGCACAATGTGGCCCTGAGAAAACTGAAACATTTACAAATGAACACGAAGAGCTTCGTTTTTTAAAACAACATTTATTGACATTTTTATAACCCATAGAAAACAAAGGGGTGGAGTGGCAGCGCAGTGAGTAACGCACTGCGATTCTCGGCCACGACTAAAATCAGTGGCGAGTGATATATGAACCCGTTCTGAACGCGCGCCCTCCCTTCAACCCCATACTCGCCAGTGACTTGAACTGTGGTAAATTTAAATAGGCACCCATGACTGACACCGCATGTAGATGCTTTCAGAAATGGATGAACACGGGGCTATGAATCATTTACATTAGTCAAGAATAAATAATGGAGTGACAGCCAAGGATTGGAATGCATGACAGCACGTCCACCGAGGAGATGGAGTATACAGGTGCTGGGTGGATTTTTACATCACGGTCATGAGAGGTGGGTGGTGTCTTCGGGAGGTCTTCATCCAGCTGTGGATTGACTGGTTCATGATGATGGCTGATTTTTCGAACACGTAAGAATGCATTTATCTCGAAGCTACAAAGACGCCCACATTGAGGGTGCGTTTGTTTTTATTTTAAGAACTTGTGGTGTGGGAGAGCGGAATTTTTTTGTTTGTTCCCAGTGGCTGACCTGCGAGTTGAGTCACCTTTTGCTGTAATGAATGCGTGGTTTCTATTAATAGTGAGGGGGACTGGTGGAAACACTTTTTGCTTGTCGTCAGGAGCGTGGGCCAGAGGTCGCAACCGGGTACCCGATACCCGTACCCGGCCGAGTACAGGTACCCGTTTGCGACCCTGGTGCGGCCGGGTACGGGTAAGGAATCAAAACCCGTTTGCGACCTCTGGCGTGGACTTACGGAGCCAGGCGAGGCGATATGGCCACAAGAACTCAAGATCAGTGTCCTTTCTTCCACCCTTCTGAATTTTCCAGTCACCTCAGGCAGGGTTAGGGGGAGGGTTAAACTCCGAGCCGGGTCCTTGGAGCAACTGCCACGAGCAGGTAGCAGATATACCTAAACGTGTTTTTTATTCTGTTTTCTCTTTTTATTTAATTGGAGTCATTTGTCCGGCCACTAACTTGGGTTCGAGGGATTCCGCCGCGGTGTAATGGTTGGCACTCTGGATGTCACCGGTTTGATTTCGGCACTCATTGAAGCGATCGGCACGTTTTTAAATCCCCACATAGATAGGAACGCCACAATCGTTTGATCGGCAGGTCAAGTGTGGTGGGGTCAAGTGTAGGTCCTCCCAACCCTTCCAAGACATTTGGCCCGTGTGGAAGAGCCACCACAGAGGTGCTCTATTATTCTAAACGGCAGAGGCCCTTCTGCCAGCAGTGAAATGACCAAGAAATTGCAGGGCTACACCTTTATCTCTTTACGTTGCTGTGATTCTCACATAGCGTTTATAATAACGTCTTGATTCTGGCTGTCTTTTTTTTATGAGATGAAATCCAAAATCGAAAGGATCAATCTATGCATTTTTAATTTGTTTGTGAGGATATTGAGATCTTGAAACGCATAAATATTTATCAATCGTATTGATTTTTTTCAAATCACTAATTATATAGAATGAAAGGGTGAAGAGGAAACCTGGCAAGGGTGATGGACACCCGCACTGTTTTTCATGGCGTCTTGATGTAGTTGCACATAGACGCCAAATATTTAGAAATTGTATCGTGATGCAACCCACTGGTGCCATCGCTGTGTGTCACTCCTGGTTTCCATTTGAACAAGGTAATAATTGACCACAGAACACAAAAAAGCACGTGCAGAATTCCAATTGAACGTGGTCAATATTTTGGCCTCAAAGCCATGGCCCTGTCGCAGCATTTAGCGGATGTCTTGTTTGGGACGCTCGTGATGATAACGCTGTACAGCACGAAGTAACGTTTTTTTCACTTAAGACTGCAATTTACGCCATAGCCAAACTCAAGGTTATTTGAATACAAGTTGTAAATGAATGCGCAGATGAAGGTATCGCTTTACCCGATGTTTAGCTGACGTCAGATTAAGTAGAAACTTTCCCCTTTTTTTAAGTTTTACACTTTTAAATCTCAGCTCCCACTCCGGTGTCATTTGTTGTGGCTGGGGTCGTGTTTTACTTATCGCGAGTTGGTGAATACGGAATTGGCTTTGGGCCACGATGTCCGTCTGTACATTTTTCTTGTAACTGCGTGCAAAACTTCAAATAATTCAAACTGATCCACGACGCGCACTGGTGAACGAAAGCCTCGCGTGGCTCAGCTCGGCCTTAAACGTTGCGCCTGGGGCAGGTAGTACGGCATTGGTAGAGGTGTGGGTGAATGGAGACCTAGCGAGTCGCTGCTTCCCAAATCATTTATTCAGTCTTTGGCACTTGATATTTGTGCCGTTCCGTTAGCGTGAGGCCATCGGCGGAGGTGCGATGTTTCCCTGACGATTGTAGTCTGCACTAATTTCACAGTGGGGGGTGGGGGGGGAGAAATTTTTCTTTCTGATTTTACCCAATCAGATCATTTGAGTTTTTCCACTGAAGTGGTATGCTGCATATGTTTGGTACGTACACATCCACATTAATTAGCCAGTGCGGCTGCGAACTTCTGCCAGTCGCACCTTCTAAAGGCGCTCACTAACGACAGCCATCCCAACAGCCCTTCCAGGCCGCAGGAGATCACCGATTAAATAATCGCATTCTGGTGGAATTGCTTCGTTGATGACGTACAAAATATTCCTCTCAGTGATGCATAACTCGTGTATTTGTTTCTGGTGATGTTTTTGGTTGTTTTAAGTGAACCTTCAATCGGAGTCAATTTCGGATACCTGTTGAGCAGGTGTGTGTGTGTGTGCTTGCATGCGATGTGTATTTACGCTGAATGGCAACTGATGCACACACACCTTCCCCAGGTGCGTCATTACCAACCTCCTGAAAGTAGTGCAGCTAAAGTTAAATGCCACCAAAAAACTCCCTGTTCCTAACACGGGACATTCCAGTGTGTAAATGATGTGTGTGTGTGTGTATGGTGATCTGTGGGAAGCGGTTAGCGCCCCGCGCTACTAACCCGGTGACCCCAAGTTTTATTCCCCGCTCACTGCCAACACCAGTGACGATTTTCTGAACCAGTCCTGGGTCTCCCCTAGGTCGACTCGGCTACAAATCAGTAGCTGGTGTGTGGTGTATAATAAACATCAGCACCAGGAAGGCAAAGACACCCGGGCTCTCTGCTAGCCACTCACCCCCTCGTGTGCTGTGCCGGTCCTTAACAGGTTCTTGCTAGTAGCACTTGCCCCTATAGTCTGTTAAGGCTATACGAGGAATCTTTATCATTTGTGGTCTGTGGAGCCCGTAGTATTTGTGCACTCCTATGAACCTGGTGACTGACCCACGTGCGAATCCATTTGCTGTGCTGGCCTTCATAGGTGCCTGCAAAGACCTACGTTGGTTTTCACGCTTAACTGCCGGCAACGTCAAGACCTAAGCTGATTTCTTGTAGAGGCTTTAAAGAAATATTACAGCGCCCTTTTAAACCCAACGTCGGAGGTGAATCCTCGGTACCCAAGCTGCGTTTAGCAATGACAATGAGATGACGTGGGTCGTTATTGCTCGAGCGATGGGAAGTGGGGTGGTTGGTTTAGTCCAGGGGTCGGCAACATGCGGCTCCGGAGCCGCATGCGGCTCTTTACGGGCTGCTTCTTGACGATATGTACATATGTACAGTATGTACTCAGATGCATTGCGGCTCTTGAAATACTGAATTTTGTACCGAATTGGAAAGAAATGGCTCTTCTTGTTATTTTGGTTGCCGACCCCTGGTTTAGTCCAACTATTATTGGAGGAGCCAAGTGCGCGATGACCTCTTGTAGAAAGTGAGGCACACGGGGGAGTGCTGCAACTCATTTGCACGTTGGCCTGGAAAACTGTGGCAGAAATAAAATTCACCCCCCTCCCTCCCGCTTCCTCTGGTAATGAAAAACTTATTTACGTCATGAAATATAATGCTGTTTTTTTATTTTATCTTTTGGATATTTCCCCAGTTTTTATCCCGGTTGTGCTCTTGATGTCATGTCACGAGACTAATCAATTCGGAACTCTCTTGGTGCAGTGCCACCTTTGTTAGAGAACATTTTGAGTAGCGTGGTTAGCTTTGTACGGCGAAAAAAAAATGTTCAACAAAGTGGCTGTCACGGAACTACTTCTAAAATTCCTTCAAGTGACCATTGTTACGCACTAGGGGGCAGCACTTTCATACAGGTATTGAGACATGTTAATTTTATGAAACTCAAACGCATATTTTTAATTCTCAAAGCTGGAGTTTAGCCAAATTCGGTGTTTTGTGTGCGTGTGCTACACCTTGCGCAATTCGAGTGACATTTGTGAAACTCTAATAAAAAAAAATCTAGTGCAGGCTGGAAATAAGTAAGGGTAATGATGCAGCCTGCACATGCTTTCCAGTCTTGTGTGACTTCTTCATCATTGTCGCCCTTAGGCATTGCCAGTCTGTGCCTCTACAGTGATCGGGGCGGGCTTGTCCACACGAAGCCGCCGAGACATAAAAGCGGCGGTAAGTAATAACGTCCATACTCTACCACAATTGATACGCCGATGCTTAATGCGATTTAATTGACATTGACGTGACAATGGATAATTCCGTTCTGTGATAGTATGCATGCATGTTGAACTTTATTTATACCGTTACATAGCCAACCGTGCTACGTACGGTGCGCGGGGGACAGGGCAACAATCTAAGCACGTAAAAAAACTGTTCTAACTAATTGAGTTTTTAAAATCTGAACTTGGGCGGCGCTTTTCTCGGCAGGCAGCAGGGCGGCGAGGCGAGCGATGGCGCAAGAAGCGAACCGCTCGCAGGGCCCCATGCTGTGCACCATGGGCTGCGGTTTCTACGGGAACCCACGCACCAACGGCATGTGCTCCGTGTGCTACAAGGAGCACCTGCAGAGGCAGAACGCTGGCGGCAGACTCAGTCCCACAGGTAAAGTGCAGTGGTCGCGTCGACAAAATTCGCTCGGCAGGCTTGAGAGCGACGCGACGAATCGCTTCTTGCGTTCACGGGACGGGAGACGGACTGCGCAGCATTTTTATTTTTATCCGAACTCTCACTCGCATGGGTTGTTAGAGAATTATGAAGTCTTTTTTTGTAAATGTTCACCGCTGAAGATTCGCACACCGCCACACATTCTATAATTACACCACTGTAGATTCACACCCCCTGTGTATTTTATATTCGCACCACTGTAAATTCACATGACTGAATAGTCGCACGACGATGATGATGATTAGTTGGATGGCTTCTGTCACGCCATACCGCGATAACGACATCCTTTAAGGACGCTGTGCAATGCTACAGAAGAGATGTGGCACACAAGTGCATCCTTAGTGATCTCTAGAAAGCCTCGCGTTGGTACGAGTCTAACGCCATCGAGTAGACCGCTCCATGCCGCGGGGACCAGTCGCGCAGAATGCACAATAGGAGACGCAACTCTTCGATTTAAAGCTTTCGTGACTGCAGGGATTCATCTTCTTGGTTCTTTCGGTAAAGTCACGGAGAAGGGAAATAATAAAATAATAAAGATATAACATAATAAAATAATTCTCACGACGTTTCGGCCACAACGCAAGCAGCCGTCCTCAGGTGAAGACCAGGTCTGTCGGGGAGTAAGCGTTGTGGCCGAAACGTCGTGAGAATTATTTTATGTTTTATTTTTATTACTTTATTATTTCCCTTCTACATGACTTTACCGAAAGAACCAAGAAGAGACGCAACTCGTTTATTTCTTTCGCGAATTTTTTGGCTCCCCGGTCGGTTTTCCCCGCAGCGTCTGACTCTGCTTTTATCGCAGCGCGTCTCGTCCCCTCGTGTTTATGTTGGGTCAGGGGTCGACGACCTGCGTGCGGCTATTTTTATGGACCTCTTTGTGACGTTGTTTATGCTCGTTGTTGCGCTTCTTGGCATGTTGAGTTTCATACTCTTAGTTTTTTAGGTAAAGTCACGTAGGTAAAAAATGAAATTGAAATTAATAAATATAAAATAAAAATAAAAATCACGACGTTTTCGGAGGCAACACAAATCTCCGTGATGACGGAGACTTGTGTTGCCTCCGAAACGTCGTGATTTTTATTAATTTTAATTTCATTTTTTACCGACGTTACTTTACCGAAATAACTAGGAATACAAATCCTTGCAGTCACAAAAACTTTAAATCTAGAATGAATATTGAGTTTTTTTAAATCGAATTATTTTGGTTGTCGGCCCCTTTGCTAGGTGTACAATTGTATACTTTCAACACTGTAGATCGCACCACCCTACATTCCATAATCGCACCACTGTCCTGCCGAGTCTATAGATTACATTTCTATTGAATCGTACCTCCCTAGGTTTTGCAAATTTGCACCACTGTGCAGGAACGTGTCGATTCCCAAACCAAATCGTGACTACGGATCGTAATGACTTTAAGGCAGGCCTGAATCATTACATTCTGTTGGCTAGGTGTGTAGCAATGCTTTAATGATCAAGTTCATGATACATGCATCAAAGCGCATTTGTTAAAGTTTGTATATTCTTATTTATTAGAAGTGTATACAGGTGATTTGTTAATGTTAAACCTAATGAAGAGAACAATACGGTACAAACGAGACTAGCATTCTCTTCCAAATTATCGAATCGCATCCCTGAAATGCTGTAAGTTTAACACATTCCTGCGGAGGGAGCTGGTAGGAACGTTGGGTTGCTCGGTCAATGGCCAGGGTCAACGGCGGCGTGGTGTATTCCGCAAATATGCACGACTGTGAAGGCGGGCACAAGCCGGCGTGAGTAGGTTAAACGTTGAGTTTTATAAGGGCACCACGGGGTGACCAGCCCCTCTCCACCCAGCCCCAGCCCTCTCATTTTTGGATGCACAACGGACAGACGGACACAATAATCCCCTGTGGGCTGGTGTAACCAGGAGGTTCCTACCAGTATAAAGTCTCTTGAGTTCTTGTCACTGTTCTACTGTTTGCATTCTGTCACTTTACATCCGCTTTTGCGTTCAGTCAATGGGGCTCCATCTCTTTTGTTCCATTACTTACAATCCCTAACTTTGCATTCCCATCGCTTTTTTTCTGTCCAATGTGGACTCGCACCCCCTTGAAGCCACAAGTCCTGGGAACAGCGGTGCCGTCGCGGTCGCTCAAGCAGCGGCCGACAGCCTCGCATCGTCGACGGCAACCGTTGCCGTGGCAGCTGCGGTTTCGTCGCCTTCATCGGTCACTCCAGCGACGAGTGGCAGTGCCTCTCCGTTGCCAGCCCCATCACCATCGCCATCTTCAACGTCATTGTCATCTGCTGCTGCTGCTGCCGCCGCCACTGCCGCCTCTTCAGCGGTGTTGACTGGCACCGCCATGGCAACGGCAAACATGATGGTGACGGCGGCGCGGGGGGAAGGTAGCCCTGCCACGACACCGACGCCACAACAGGAGCCCTCGCAGGCGGAGGCTCCCTCACCCGGGGTCTTTGGTTCTCCCAGCAGGTGGGCATGAGCAGTTGGCGCTGCCAAGTAGGTTGGGCGACGAGGGGCAAAGTGGGTAGAGGGGTGGGGACGTTGAGTGGTGTGGGTAGGGGAGGGGTGAATGGGATGGGCACTGCGTAAATAGTTGAGGGGATGATTGAGAGAGATTGCGCAAGTAATAGTGAGATGGTGATTTGGTGGGTGAGTCGGTGATTGAGTGGTCGAGCGCTGGTGGGCGAGGTGAGTAGATTGATGTTTTAGAAAAAATTGAATAGGTTCTACCCTTTCCAGCAATACAGCAGGTGTTAAGATGTTTAAACATTGAATAGAAACCTTTTGCAAGGAATCGTGTCCGTCGTTAACCACACACATACTTATGGTGAACATGCAAACAAATAGGCTCTGATAATAAGTGGCATTGTATTTGAAACTGATCCGCCCTCTTTAGGGCCTAGTCTCACCAGTGTCGGACCAGAGAACGCCAAAAGGCGAACGGTACAAAGTCAATGCACTTTTAGAGCATTTATAGCTTGGTGAGCAAAATGGGACCTTTTTTACACCAGTACTAGATTATGGTAATAGTGCGAGTTAGTAAAGTGGTGAGGTAGATGAATTAGTAGGTGAGTGGGTGGGTAGAATTAATAGGTGAATATTTGTATATGTGATTTGTTGAGATGGTGAGGGGATGATTAGGTAGTTGAAATGGGTGATTGAGTAGGTGATGGTGAGAGGGTGTATGGGTGGGTCGGTAATTAAGTTTGTGGGTGACTCAACGAAAAGTGTGTGAGGTGGGTGAGTGATCGACTCGTTGAGTTAAGTGAGTGGGTGACTTGGTGAGCAGGCAGGTCGGCGAGTTGTTGATGCGGGGGTGGGCAAGTGACTGAATGGGTGAGTGAGTGACGTTGCGTGGATGCCCTCTGCTGCGTTTGCAGCCCCATCACAAGCCAGCCCTCACCCGTCAGTTCCCGCATGACGGCCATGACCCTGGTGGCTGACGGCGAGGACGTGGTCACCACCGACCAACCTGTGGCCGCCGCCACCTCCGCCGACCTCAGCGGTATTCTCGCTCGGCCGCACGCGCGCTCGCACGATCACACGGTCTCCACGACAGCTTGGCTGCCGCCTTGGAAGGTTTTCCACGGCAGAAGTTTAACCTTTTGTAATCTGGAAATATAAATATAAATATTTACGAGGGTAGATCGAGTTTAGATATCCGGCCGAGGGCATCGTCGAAAGTGGAATTAACCTTTGTCGTCCCGCTGGGAAAGTGAATATCAGGAGCGACGATTCACGGTGTCTTCCGTTGTTGTATGTTTCTATCTTGAACTTCTTTTGCGCACCGTACGTTCGCCAACCGTGCTAATCGGAGGTGGAATCGGCACGGCTGCGTGACACGTTCCCAGTTGCAGCGCGGATTGTGTTTTTTAGTAATCGTCACCACTCGTGTATCGATACGATCCGCGTCGTTCGTGGAAAGTCCTCGATGCAGTTTGTGATTTCCCACCGCCGCCGCAATGGCCATTGGAGAAAAACAGGTGGTGACGAAACCGAGCGTTCACGAGAGGCCGCGGCGGCGGTCAATGGCGGTTTGTAGACGTCTCTCACTCTCGTGGTGGTGCACACCTCGCCGCACACCCACAGCGTGCACCCTCGCGGATCTGGACGGCGCCGAGGGTTCGCCAGACGGCGCCGACAAGCCCCGGCAGCAGAAGAAGAACCGCTGCCACACCTGCAGGAAGAAAGTCGGCCTCACCGGTATGTGGCCGCCCTCCCTGCACGAGGGCCCCCCCCCCGTGTTTGTTGTCTTTGGCATTGTTTGTGTTTATTGTTTTTGTAAGTGCGTGTCGTCCTTCGTGTCTTTGTGTGCGTGTCTGCCTGTATGTCGCCGGGTTTGACATACACAGGTGGTAACGCTAACCACTACGCCACCACTACGCCTTCCAACCTGTGTTTCATTTACTGCCACGGCCAATATTGGTGACGAATATCTGGATTGGTCCTGAGCCTCGCCTATATCGATACGGCTTGAAATTAATTCTTTGCACGGTGCTGGCGACACCCCCTCCACCCCCTTGTACGCCATGCCGGCCTTAATAAGTGCTCGTAAATAGCACTTGCCCCAACAGTCTACACAGGGGATCTGACTGTTTGGCAGACTTGAGTTCGATTCCTGATGAAGGGTAACACAGGTAGAATGTGTAATCTGAAACCTGTTGTTGGTCGCTACTAGGTTGAGGCTTACTAAATGAGTGCTCACTGCACTACCACCACCAACCTAGTGCTCTGTGCCATTCTTAAAAAGTAAGTGCTTGCTCACAACACTTGTCTGTGTTCGTGTGTATTTAATGCACGGTTGAATTGTAAAGTTCAGACCCTCCAGATTAATAGTCAAATCATGCACAAATTTTATATCATACTAATTGCGTCAAAGATAATGAGAGGAATTGGATTTTTTTAGTTCAGTTTTTTATTTTCGTGAATGAGTTTATTCCACTGTGAACACGGCTCAAACTTCATGCATGGCGGCGGTGGTGGTGGTGGTTATGGTTCTCTAGCCAGTGCCATTGGTGGCAGGAATGGTGGTGGTAGTGATGGTGGTGGTCATGGTGAGTGGCGATTGTGGTTTCTGTATCACCGGTTGGGCATTACGGTTCTTATTTACACTTTTGCATCCGTGCACATTCCCGCACCTGCCCTCTTGCTCACTCTCTTGCGCCCACATCACTTGCTCGCCCACCTTACCTGTTCACCCACCTACCTGCCCTCTCGCTCGCTCGCTTGCCCGTCCACCCGCCCGCTTGCCCCGCGCTCTCTCACTCGCTCGCTCGCCCACTTGCTTACTTGCTCACCCGCCCGCCCAGCAGGATTTGAGTGTCGCTGCGGGAACCTGTTCTGCGGCCTGCACCGCTACTCGGACAAACACGAGTGTTCGTACGACTACAAGTCTGAGGCGGCCGAGAAAATCCGCAAGGAGAACCCCATCGTAGTGAGCGAGAAGATCCAGAAGATTTGAAACGGTGGCGGCGTTGCCACCGGGTGGAGGAGGCGGGGGAGGGGGGGACGCACGCCAGGGGAACAATCGCACGTGCACCCGGGGGCCAGGAGAACGAGTCGCGACCTCCTTCCTTCCGAGCCGCCTCCACCGATCACTCGTTATGGGGTGGTGGGAGGGAGTTGGTGTGGGTGGGGGGGAGGAAGGAGGGGTGGTGGAAGATGAGGGCCATTTCAGCCTGTCCTTCACCTCCTTGCGCTGGGGACACGTTTTGGTTTATTTTAAATTTTTGGTTTTTTTTTTTGACCGGCATGCATTACAAGGTGCCCAGGCATGCTCGCATTGGAATCCTTTGAAGATAATAAAGCGTCGAGGATGTTTGGCTTGTTCCCAACTATTACTTTCTACCCCCCCTCAACTTTTATTCTTTGTTTTTTTTCTTTTCCTGTTGGTTTATTTTGAATCAAGTACCATCAGTTTTAAACAAATTTAAGTGAAACAGTGGGTTTGTTTCTGTTTTACGTCGCCGGAACACGCTTGTGTACGCGCCCGGCCGCCCACACCGTGACGGGAAGGGGCCTGGAGATTTGCCGACTGCGCGACTCCTTGCCGGGCCGTTTGCCCATGCGCAGCGTCGACCGAAAACTTGACTATTAAAAGGGGAAGAAGTGGGGGCCGCCTTGCGAACTGCAGGGGGTGGGGAGGAGCCCAGGAACGGAGAGGCGCCATCATCGCGTGGAGCACTATCACCGGCCAGCTTTCACGCCAGCGTCCATCGATTTGTGCAACTCCCGCAGTTCGAAACATCGCGTGGCTGGTGGCAAGGGAACGTTTTTAGCTCTGACGGCAAGCAGGGGGCTTGTGTGTGGCGCGCGTGAGGTCTGTCCGTCGGTTGCGGTGCTGTGAGAAATAAAGGACTTGCTCGCACATCTTACTTAACACGTTGCGGAATAATGCCCTGTCCCCCCCCCCCCTCCCCGCTGGAAGATGGAATGGTGATACATTTGTCGGAGTTTTCCCTTGCGCTGGGTTGAGCAGAGGGCAAAAGGGCTTGTGTTTGGCCAAGCAGCGGGGTTCTAGCATTAGGCAGTTTCACCAGCAGTCGCGATAATTAGCTCGTTAATACAAAAATAACTATGATAATCGAGTGAGCGAGATTGGGCTCTATCCCATGCCCAACTCTCGCGGTTGTTCCTGCATGCGACAGACTTGTACATTTTTAGGCAGACGGCGGTAACGGTAGCAGTGAAGAGTACAAAGTTAATTACGGCAAGTTACAAACGAATAAGATAAACTATATCATGAATATTGGTTATAATGGCTTCAAGATTAGCAAATCTGTTGGACTCTGCTCCACGAGACGATCCGGTTGTGTGAGAGTCGACGGCGATCCTCTCTTTAGGTTTGGACGTCGGCACAACAGCCTCACGGTGTCTCCTTCCAAACCGGAGTGAGGCTCGCATGGATTTTGTGTTTTTCTCCCCCCCCCCCCCTTCCAACACCCTTTTAATTGGTTGAGTGGTTTTCGTTTGTTTTTAAATTTGCTTGAAATGGAAATTCAGTGTACGTTATATATGTTATTAGTATAATACCCGCTGTGCTCTCGTCTATCTAAAAATCTGTCGTTTTCGAGTTTCTCCGCTAAAAAGGGGGGGGGGGGGCCCAGAACGTGTCTGAAATGGGTCCGTGGCCCACCATCTTTTCCCCGGGGGGGGGGGGGGGGTGGTAGAGAAGGGGCAGTCAAACCCGCGAGGCCGATTCGGCCACCCGGAGCATCCCTTGCCGCACCATGGCGCCCACCTATGCGCTGTACCGGGGGTAGGTTTTGTTTGTGCTCGCAAACAGAACCCCTAACCCAGTTGGTACGCAAGGCTCTGCGGGACTGGCTCGTGTGTGTCCCAGGTGCTAGTTGAAGTGGCCCCTCAGGATAGAGTCCTCCTGTTTGTTGACTCTAATGCCCGAGTGGGTCATGACGCAGACACCTGCGTTGGAGGGGATCGGAAGGCATGGGCCAGATCGGCTCAAAATAACGGAAGGAGGCTTGCTCGACTTCTGTGCAGCCCATGGGCTTGTAATTACGAACACGCTGTTCCGCCATTTGCGCATCCACACCACATAGATGCAGGCCGGGTCCAAGCAAGAACATCTACTGGACTATATAATTACCGACCAGTGGATGCGGGCCCATGTCCTTGACACCAGGACCTACCGTGGAGCTGATATGCCCACTGACCATCGATTTGTCATCTGTAAGATGTGCCTACCATTCTTCTATTCTGGTGGTGGGTGTCTAATGAGGACCCAGTTCAAACCCACGTAGCCTGGTCTCAGCTAGCTGAGGACAGTTGCACGCAGACATTTCAACATCGCTTGCAGCTGGGGTTCGCATTGTGCTACCCTGAGGCCGAGGGGAAATGGGTGAGGTGTAGGACTGCAGCTCATGCAGCTGCAATGGCTGCATTGGGTATGTGGTCCAGACCTCCCCAAAGACCCTGTCTGAAGGAGAAGTTCTGGCTGGTTGAGAGAAAATAACAGACCCACTCCCATGTACAAAATCCAACCTTGGAGAATGAGCCTTTGCTCTGGATCTGAGAGCCGTGTGGTGCTGCGAGGATGAGTGGTGGGGCGGGTTGCTGAGGAGATGGAATCTGCCTCGAAAGCCGGCAATCACAAATTGCTATTCCACCAAGTCACTTGCAGTCCCTCGCCTATCACCGTCCTTGAGAGAAAGAACGGAAAGCCGACCTCCAACCCCCAGGAACAGGTCTGCAGGTTTGCAGAGCATTTGAGTGAGATCTTTAGGAGTGGAATTCCCTCAATCCAGACACCCTTGTGGGGGAAGGTGGAGACGACCCTGCTAGTGCGGCGGTGCCTCGTTGGCAGAAGTAGCCACCCCTTGTGAATGGTTGGTTTGGGTGCCATTTGTGGAGGAAGTGAGGGGCGATCCAAAGTCTGAGACCAGGAAAAGTGCCGGGCAGAGATGATCTCCCAAGCGAAATGCTGAGGGAGGGTGACATGTGTGCAGACTGCCCTACATGATATCACAACTCTGGACCACGGGATGGGCCCAGACAGTCACTCAGGAGGAGTTTGATGTACTGCTGCTGCTGAACCTGGTGTGTGCCACCAAGAAGTGGGTGGGGTCTTGGCATCGGCGCCACCAACACTAAGCACCTGCCTGGGTATTTTGTGCCACCAAACACTCAATTCCCTCAGTTCCCCATTCGTGATGGAGCAGTTGTGGAGAGAGTGAAGTTTCCCGTACCTGGACAGTGCTTATGACCAGCTCCGGGTTTGACAGCAGAGGTCTCACTCCGAATCCGTTGGGCAGCATCTTTTCATCGGCTGTGCAATATTCCGTAAAAGCTACCTGGTCTGTCGCTCTTCATGAAGCTTCGGGTCTTCTTGGCCACAGTCATGCTATCCTTTCTCTGTGCTTGTGAAACGTGGACCCCTCTAATGGAATGCCAGCTGTAAACATTCAGGCTGGCATGCCTACGATCCATCTTTTGTTTAATGTGAGGAGCTCACAAATCCTTGAAAATGTTGGACACATTCCCATCAGTGAGCTCCTCCGGCAGACAAGGCTGCGTTGTGTCCTGTAGCCCGCATGCCCAGCCACCACATGCCCAAGCAGCTTCTGTTTGCTGCATAGAGGGGACTAAACGGGCATGACATGGGCTGGAGAAGAGATGGATTGATGCTCTCAGGGAGGATGTGGAGCTGTGTGGACTTGCCGACGACTGGTACCAGTTGTCAAGATCGGCTTCTGGAGGAGGCTCGTGAATGACGCTTCTGGGCAGTTGGAGGCAGTCGCCCTCCAGCAACAACGGAGGGCGGAGGAGCGACGCGCCGGGTGGCTAAAATGCAGCAAGTTGCATCTACCGGTCATTTCAGTCGGCCAACCCATGACACCTGAGTCTGTCCCGAGACCACGTGTCAGCGAGCCTTGGACACTTCACGTGGCCTCAGTGCACCTGGCCTGGTACCAGGCGCAGTGATGACGCCTCCGTCACTTAGTGGCGAATTGCGGGTATTGGTGTCTGCATGTACCGTGTGCTAATAAGATTTATAAGAATAAGCCAAACGTCCCCCAAGTCCCGTTGCGCTCTGTTCACACTTGGGGCTGAAGTGTGCCACGTTTGATTTAACTGCGCGTGACCAGAGTTTTTTTTTTGTCCCCCTTGTCGACATTTGGGAATTTCTGCTGAATCCTAAGAACGTTTTACCCTAAATTTCGATTTAAAGCTTTGGTGACTGCAGGGATTCATCTTCTTGGTTCTTTCGGTAAAGTCACGTAGAATGGAAATAATAAAATAATAAAAATAAAACATAGTAAAATAATTCTCACGACGTTTCGGCCACAACGCAAGCAGCCGTCCTCAGGTGAAGAACAGGTCTGTCGATAAGACGGTCTGAATGACACGTCCTCGGCTTGGAGCGTCTATTTAAGCTGGGAGGGAGGACGTCTTCTCGACAGACCTGTTCTTCACCTGAGGACGGCTGCTTGCGTTGTGGCCGAAACGTCGTGAGAATTATTTTATTATGTTTTATTTTTATAATTTTATTACTTCCCTTCTACGTGACTTTACCGAAAGAACCAAGAAAACTGTTACCCTTTGTGAGCAAGTGACGCTATGCTGTGGAAGGAGGTGGGAGGCGACGGGAGACGAGGAACCGTGAATTATCGGCACGGGACCAGCTTCAGGGAGGGGCGCGAGATTGATGGGGAACGTAAATCTGTAAATCCACGACACTGAACATCCCCCCCCCCCCCCCGTCTGAGTTTACGCAGTGGTGCGCTCTTAATGTCTTGAAATAACATTAATCTTTTGTTGTGGGCGGACCTTACAATTTCCAAGCATGGTTTGCTTTACTCTCTCCACACTCGATCTGATCCTAGCCTCGGCTCCACCACCCCCCTTCGCTCGCACCACCACCACCACCACTGTCGCCCAACGCATGCTCCTTAATTAACGCTTGGACAATTAAGGAGTGAGGATTGTGGGGTGTGGGGCGATAGGAGATAATGTTGTGGCAAAGTGCGCCTGTAGCCTGGGGAACAGCATGGCTTGGCTTTGGCCAGGTCTGGTTGGATAATGCGCGCGCGTGTTTGTGTGTGTGTGTGTGATGTGTCGCATGAGCTTGAGAACATGACACTCGGCAGTTCTTGCCCAAGCTGCACGGGGCGTGCCTCCCATTCAGGTGCGATGGATTACATCGGACTGGGTGGGGGTACACCCCCCCCCCCCCCAATTCTCTGTGTTTCTCTTGAAAGTTATTTTGATTTTAAATGTTCTTCGTATCTCAGCGCTCAGGTGGACCCGTAGGTCTATTTTCAATCACTTAACCATGTCCAGCATGTGTGGTCTTCTGGAGGAGGAAGAGACAACACGCAAATATACGCGCGGAATCATGCAAGCCACAAGAGAGCATGTGTGTTGTTTGTGTGCGCACAGTGTGGGGAGCGGTGGCGCAGCTGTTAGCGCGCTGCGCTACAAACCCGGCGACCCAAGTTCGATCTCCGCTCACGGCCAACATCGGTGACGATTATATCTGAACCGGTCCTGGGCCTCCCCTAGGTCGACTCAGCCTGAAATGAGTACCTGGTGCGATGTGTCAACATCGCCACTGGGGAGACAAAGGCGGCCGGGCGTGGTGCTGGCCACCCACCCCCTCGTGTGCCGTTCTGGCTTTCATAGGTGCTCGCTAACAGCACTTGCCCCTACAGTCTGTTAAGGCTACACTGGGGGATCTTTGTCTTGTTTTGTGTGCGCACAGTAGCCTGATTGTAGCCACTGTCCTTGGGAGGATGAAAGCGTGGCCTTTTAAAGCTCCTGGCAGTAAAAACGGCTTTGCCAACCCACGTGTACCTGCATCACCCTGCATTTTGGAGTCCTCAGTGCAGCTTTGCCCTATTGCCCTGCGTTGACAACTCTGTACTTTCGCTCTCGACTGACAACAGTTTTAAACGAATGAAAATTGGCCATGCTGTCCTCGTTTTATGGCTAAAAGTTGCAAATTCGATCAAACTTAACCATTAGTTGAGCTCATCGGGGGATAATCTTTATAAAGTTTGATTTTTTTTTGAAGTTGCGTCTTGTCACAATAAACTATCCAAATCTCGTCCCTAGTTATGGACAGATGGGGGGGAACTAATCTCTTCGACAACTACAAACTTTTATCATTTTGTTTTCTTTTTGTTCATAGATTTGTATGAATAAAACAAATTATTTATGCTAGATAATCTGCTTTGTTGTTTTAGGCATCGTCTTGACAGTATATTGTACAAATTTTACGGTAATAAAGTGCTTTGAAAATTAGTTTTTCGCTTCGTATTGTTACTAAATAACGCGCCGCGTGTTGTGTCTGGTTTGAAACCAGCCAACAGACCCATGCTGTCATGTTTGGAAACCAACCAGAAGTGACATGACGAGCATTTTGTTTATTATCCTTCACCCCCCCCCTCCCCGTCTTCATTTCACATCGTTCACGCTTTCCAATTAGGGGTTTGTTTATCTGTTAAGGGTGATATGCAGGGAGAGGGAGGCGCTGGAGTTATGCAACTCTCCTTAAGATGATCCAGTGTGAGCAAAGGCTGATCCAGATGTGGCGATTCAATGTGTCCCGGTTGAGCCCCCCCCGGAAATGAGAGACAGATTTGACAAAATCAAGAGGCATGGATTGATTTCGCCTCTTTGTCAAATGCGACGATGTCAAATCGGTTGGTCAACCACGAATTTTCTACCCCCCACACACACAGGGGGTGATGGGGGTCAGCATTGTTAAACAAGGGGAATGCTTTTAACAATAGTTTATTTTTGGGCGAGATCTTGTAACAAGCATTACACTCATAATCAACGTTTTTGGGTTTAGATCGCATTATTTATAAATGTGTCATAACCCTCCACCACCCGACACGGCCAAGTACTCAAATTGAGTACTCAAATGAGTACTCAAATTGTAAATGTTGTGGTTTCACGCTTCAACACACCGGTGGGCTAAAGCAGTGAACTATTTGTCTTTTGTCAACGTGACACTTTTTTACTGATTGGCCGTGTCGGGTGGTGGAGGGTTACGACACATTTATAAATAACGCGATCTAAACTCAAAAACGTTGATTATGAATAATATTGGTCGCGAAAGCCTACGTGTTAAGCATTACACTACTGTCAGCCGTGGCGTAGAGGTTCGCACACTGGACCAACGCACCCCGTCCATCCGAGTTCGATTCCTCCCAGCCACGGCTAATTTCAGTGGGCAATTCATTAATCTGAACCGGCTTTTAGGCTCGTAATTTTTGTTTTAAATTGTTTCACCAACTCGCACTGACCAGCGTGGTGAAGTATGGTCAAACAACCCCCCCCCCCCCATGACCGACACGGGCGTGTGTGTGGGGAGGGGGAGCTTCCAGTGTCGAGTTGATTTGGTTTCACCAAGTGACAACTCGTGTACCTTTTACTCTCCCAACACAACCGGTGTGTGCTGAGCTCGTCACGAATTGGCACGTTTAGTTTACGCGACAAACCACCTTAACAATGTTGACTTAAAGCTTTCGTGACTGCAGGAATTCATATTCTTTAGGTCTTTTGCTAAAATTTCGATTTAAAGCTTTCGTGACTGCAGGGATTCATCTTCTTGGTTCTTTCGGTAAAGTCACGTAGAAGGGAAGTAATATAAAAAAAAAAAATAATATAATAAATTTATATAGTATAATTTTCTTATGTTTTATTTTTATTACTTTATTATTTCCCTTCTACGTGACTTTACCGAAAGAACCAAGAAGATCTTTCGCTAAAGTCACGTAGATAGGTGAAAAGAAAATAACTTGTTATTTTTGTTGTTTTCTTTGAATCTATCTACGTGACTTTACCAAAGAACACCTTAACAATTGTCTGTGTCGGGTGGTGGAGGCCGGTTTAACAACGCATTTAGAATGTAAGCGATCTCGCCCAAAATAAACCATTGAGTCTCATTTGCAAGAGTGACCTTTGCAGCATTAGTCCTCCCAGTATGTTTATCATTTAAACAAATGCCACCCCCCACCCCAAATCCTTATCGTCCTTAAACTACTCTCCGAACCTCGAAAATTCTTGTGTATGGCGTCTGTGTGTGTGCGATTGACCTATCCGCCTCGCAGACTGCAGGTGACTACGTTGGCTGGCTGTGTGTACCTTGTCTGAAATCTGTTTACTCGGTTGGGTTGTGTTTGTGGGTCGCTTCTGCTCCGGGGTTGGGGTTCTCTTCCATTTTTTTTGCTGCTGCAAAGAACAAACAAGTATAACCCGTAAAAACAAAGTTTTTCACTATAAATCCTTTATATGCGTGGCGGCTAGAGTCCTTTCGTCCTCTGGCTTGAGATGGCTGCCACCTATGGGTCAGATGATTGCATGCCACCATTAAGCAATTGGTAATTAAATATAATATTTTTGTCCTAAAAAGTGTAAAATTTTGGGGAAAAAATTTCACGAACATTAATTGTCACGCACAACGAGTCTGTGTGGAAAATGTCAGCTCGATTGGATCACGGGAAGTGGCTTAAAAAACGACCGAAAGATTTGCACGGTCGTAAGCGAGCAAGCAAGCACGCAAGTGAACTTAATATAAAGGATTTAATAAAGGATTTAAAAATAAAATAAAAACCCTCGCCGGTGTCTGCGGTGCCAGCAGCTCCACACATCGAACATTGAAACATTTGATTTTGCCCCAAATGTTGTTTTTATTCGTGCCTCGGTAAAACCAAAATGAAGCTAATTGCAGTCGGGGGCCGATAATTGCTATGCGCGCGTAACCTCAATTGAATAATACTTTGCGATGTAATATGCGGATAGGGCAGAGGGACCGTAATGTTCAACGATTACGTGTGATTACATAACACGATGCAGACTGTTAGACTGGGAGAGAAGTGCATGTGGTTTATTTACAATGTTTCAATCGCCCGCGTGTGTGTAGGGGAGCGGTGGTGTAGTGATTAGCGCTACGCTACGCTACGAACCCGGCGACCCAGGTTCGATTCCCGCTCTCGGCCATCACCGGTGACGATTATCTGAACCGGTCCTGGGGCCTTCCCCTAGGTCGACTCAGCCTCAAATGAGTACCCGGTGCGGTGTGTAGTAAACATCGCCACTGGGGAGACAAAGGCGGCCGGGCGTGGTGTTGGCCACCCACCCCCTCGTGTGCCGTGCCGGCCTTCATAGGTGCTCGCTAACAGCACTTGCCCCTGCAGTCTGTTAAGGCTACACGGGAGAATATGTCTCGTATCTCAACAGATTTAAAGACGTCGTTGTTTAATTACGTACAGCTCATCTTTTTGGTTCTTTCGGTAAAGTCACGTAGAAGGTAAATAATAAAATAATAAAAATAAAACAATAAAATAATTATCACGACGTTTCGGCCACAACGCAAGCAGCCGTCCTCAGGTGAAGAACCAAGAAGATGAATCCCTGCAGTCACGAAAGCTTTAAATCGAAATAGGTACAGCTCCTTTCTCGATCCACTGCTGGATGGAGGGCCTCCCCATGCCGTTTCGGTCGAGAGGGGGGGGGGTCGTCTGACCATACTTCACCACGCTGGTCATTTGCAGGTTTGGGTGCTCAGGAATCGCTCGCCGCTGATGTTTGCCATGGCTGGCTGTCGCACTTAGGCCGCCGCCCCGTTTGCTACTTTGGGGCCGTCCATAAATGACGTCACGCACCTGGGGGGGGGGGTCAGACATTTGTGACGATGTGTGACGAGGAGGGGGGGGGTGAGAAATGTGACGTCACATCAAAATGCGCAACTTTAAATAAATATAGACAACACGTTCTACCTAATTAAATAGACTTTTTAATAAATGTTTTCTCCTACAACATCAGAGTGCAGCGCCACATTAAATACATACTACAATTACTTCCCTTCTACGTGACTTTACCGAAAGAACCAAGAAGAAGAAAAATGACAATAGTTTAAAGCGATTTGAAGCATGTTTTATTTGGGGGGGGGGGGGCAGAGCTTTGTGACGTCATATTGAGGCGGGGGGGGGTCTGACTGTTTGTGACGCCGTGTGACGGGGGGGGGTCAAAAATCGTCCAAAATCGCTTGACGTCATTTATGGACGGGCCCTTAAGCGTAATGCGCTAACCACTGCGCCACCGCTCCACCGCCCGTGTTATAAAACCACGAGCTGTGTGGGTGAGAGGGTGAGCACTTGAAATGCATGTGAATACTTAACGCGTGCTAAAGAATGAATAGTCATTAATTAAGGCGGCGTTGCAGTGATAGGAGAGGGGCGGGCGATGCAGCCAAAGAGCCGAGAGACACACACACACAGTGACACACACAGACACACGCAGTGACACACACGCAGTGACATACACAGACACACGCAGTGACACACACAGTGACACACACGCAGTGACACACACAGACACACGCAGTGACACACACAGACACACAAAGTGATACACAGACACACGCAGTGACACACACACACACGCAGTGACACATACAGACACAGTCACACACACACGCAGTGATACATACAGACACACGCAGTGATACACACAGACACACGCAGTGACACACACAGACATGCAGTGGCACACACAGACACGCAGTGATACACGCAGTGACGCACAGACACAGTGACACACACACACAGTGACACACACAGACACACAGTGACACACACACACGCAGTGACGCACACACACGCAGTGACACACACACACACAGTGACATACACAGACACACGCAGTGACACACACAGTGACACACACGCAGTGACACACAGACACACAGTGACACACACAGACACGCAGTGACACACACACACACGCAGTGACACACGCAGTGACACACACACAGTGACACACACGCAGTGACACAGACACACAGTGACACACACAGACACACAGTGACACACACAGACACACGCAGTGACACACAGACACACAGTAACAAACACAGACATACAGTGACACACAGACACACAGTGACACACACACACGCAGTGACACACACAGTGACACACACAGACACAGTGACACACACAGACACGCAGTGACACACATATTGACACACACACGCAGTGACACACAGTGACACACACAGACACGCAGTGACACACACGCAGTGACACACGCAGGTGACACACATACAGTGACACACACACGCAGTGACACAGACACACAGTGACACACATAGACACACAGTGACACACACAGACACACGCAGTGACACACAGACACACAGACACACGCAGTGACACACACAGTGACACACACACGGAGTAACAGACACACACAGTGACACACACAGTGACAAACACACAAATACAACTATC